ATACATACATGTTACAGCCAAATTACACTCAGACACAGAACAAATGATTGTGATCATCACACAATATTTGTCCAGGGTGGGAATCGAACCCACGACCTCTGGCTTAGCATTTCGGATCACTAACCCACCCACCAGTAGACCGATAGGCCAGTCAAATACATACATTATAATAGGTTAGTTACCAACACAAGACATTTTTTTTAAATTGTTTTCTAAAAATCATTGCAGTGACTAATACAATAGTAGCAACTAAAAAACTAACAAGGTTTAAATCTGATGATCGTGCTTATCATATTGTTATTTATCCTGGATGGGAATCAAACTGACGATGGTGCACTATTACAGCACTCAGTATCACCAATAGGTACATCATATAATTTAGTTTAGTAAAATACTACCAATACGATATTTTTTTTTGGCATGGCCTCCCATTACAAGTTCCTAATAGTTAGGATGCTTCAATACTTAATTAACAAAATTTTGCATAGTTTGGTTTAAATTACTTTCATAGATGGAGTATGTAAATGAGGTGTTACAACGGAGTAATCAATTACGTCGGTATGCAGCATGCAGCAGTGGCGGAAGCCGGTCGAGTGCCTGGTTCCGTATACTAACGTCGCGCCGCATTGCGGACCCAACTAGAAATATAATTCATTGTGCTTATTTCATTAGCTGTACACTTTTCTTTATTTATCTCACATTTGAACTCAACAAACCGATCACGTAAACTTACTGCTAGTACAAACATTCAAGTTCAAGAGGGTCAACAAGAATACATGTTTTTTTGGAGCAGGAGTAAGAAACACGGCTTGTTACTCTTGAGGTGGGGGTCTGCATAGGTGGCGGTAGTGACTTTCCATTTGCTCGTTAACCTATAATAAATTAATCAGTAGAAAATATGAGGAGTTGGAAATACTAATACTAATCCACTTCCCTCCTTAGCAAAGCGGGAGACTAAATGAAGTAAAAAAGGCATACACTCTTTTAAAAACAGGGAAGCACCACGGCCACAAAATATTATGGGTCCTAAGTGAGCTATATTTGATTTCTATAATAAGTATGGCAGAATCGCCTAAACGCACGGAAATTCAACCTAGTTGACACAAGATCCCCATAGTATACAGCCCCATGTATATTACGTTCATTATACCAAAGATTATCCCAGAGGATATGATGAGCAGACTGTTCACAGTTAGAGTAAGGTGTTGAGCATTGTGTCTGTCTGTCTGCCTTTCATGCTTATTACCTCTTCACGCTTAAACCGCTGAAGCGATTTAGATGAAATTTGGTATAGAGATAATCCGAGTCCCGGGAAAGGACATAAGGTAATTTTTATCCCAGAAATCATACTTTAAGGAGGTGGAAATTTGTATGTGAAATCAAGAACTGCTTAACCGATTTAGGTGAAATTTGGTATAGAGATACTTTGATTCTTAAGAAAAGACATATGCTACGTTTTCCCGCAATAACCAACATTTGGACAAAAGCTAGTAGGTAATACCATAAAACTATCGTGAGAGTTATGTTCGACAGAAATGGGCCGGCTTGACCGGAGTAATACTACGGCCTCACAGAAAACCGGTGTTAAGAATTTTTTTGTTGCTTTTCACTGAGTGAGTGTGGTTACTAAACCCCTTCTCCCCTTATTTTGTGGTAGGTGCACCCAAAGAGCGGACGAGCTCAAGAGTCGGTCCGCACGGCGATATTTCATCGCGCGTTATTTATTTTCGCAGAATTCTGTGGAAATAAATCGCCTCCGCATCGCGTTTTGTATCAAATCACAGTTTTTTTTCATGCTATTTTTTTCCACTGGTACGAATAGATAAAAAAACGCGCGTTAAAATATCGCTGTGCGGACGGGGCTGACCATTGCCCAAGGACACGCCTTATACTTAACGTCAGGTGACCCTTCAGCAATTATACCCCTGAACCATAAAAAATACTCATTACCGATTCGGGAGATACACCAAATGCTACGCGAAAGAAAATTGACTGTCGCTTGTCAATGCATGCGGTAATCATCGTAACAATGCTTGTCAACCCAGCTTTTACCGTACTCTTTTAAGCGTCACACAATAGAACCTTTTTTTGCCAGATACATTTGACCGTCTTGAGGTACGATCAAGGTCAGTGAAATACGCGACAAACAAAAAGCCTGCCGTTTGTGTTCTTGTATTTTTTACACGACTATGATAAATTTATAAGATACTCGAAAAAGGCAAGTTGATTTATGAATTGAAAATGATTTATTCTGAATAATAATAGTATTTATTGTAAATATGATATGACATGAAGAAAAAAGTGTAGCTTGTTGCTTTTTTCATTTTCAAAATTAAGAAATTTTTAATAAAATATTAATTAAGTGCGTTATGTATAAGAGCTACTAATGCACGACTAGAACATTAGGATGAATATTCACCCCAAACGGAAAATATAAATATACTATATTAACTTTATTATTGTCTAACATAATTTCTTTCCTAAACTAAACATATTTCATAAATATGTTCACTAAAGGAATGTTAAAAATCTTGTTGGCGATGGTAGATAAAAATCTGTGTCCTTCGGTTTCCACTAACCGCAAAAATATCCTAAATGGCCATGAAAAGATTTCACAAACAAAAAAAATATCCAAATAAGTATCAAAGCTTCGGAAAAGTAATAAATTTTTATTAAATTAAATATTACACTACATTCAACTCAAATGTATTAGAACGCCATGAACATTAATATCACATCTTTGCACGTTATTTGGTTCATCCTTCACAGATAATAGAATCAATGACCAATTCATGCACACGACTCCCTATATTTGCTCCTCATAATTGAATGAAAACGAGAGAACATCTAGGAGTACCCCAAAAACTGTCTGTTTGAACAATACGCACGATAAATAACACACCCCTATAGGGAACCTCTACGAACCCCATAAAAAGTCCCTACATTTTTTCGAACAATGAACATTTTTGAAGAATTTCATACGAAGATGCCATTTTTCAAAACCGATTGACCCGCTTACAAGCGTTAACATAAATTTTCACTATGTTATAAAGTTTTTTTGAGTTATATATAATATAGTTATATCTGCGGAGTTATGTAGGTCGACACAACCTACATAACTCCGCATAGGTTGTTTGGTTAAACACGTTCATCTCAGGCACTACTAGTTGGAATTGAAAAATTCTTTTAGTATTGAATATCCCAAATATCGGGGAAGGTTACGAGCACTACGAGCAATATGTCATCAAGCATCAATGAGAAATGTAGCAAAAACGAGGAAAATTTATTCCTTTTGAAAGATTCAGACGAAATTGAAATGAAACGAAGTCGCGGGTAAGAGCTGGTCGACGATAAGCTCAAGCTTGACGACGATAAGCGCAAGTCTCACGCTACGTTTGTTGTTTTTTATGATATACTAGCTTTGCCCGCGGCTCCACCTGCGTGTATGTCGGTTATCGTGGTAAAAAGTAGCCTATGTCCTTTGCCAAGAATCAAACTATCTCCAAACCAAATTTCATCTAAATCGGTTTAGCGGTTATTGATTCCCCTTGATGATTTCTGGGATAAAAACTATTCTATGTCCTTTCCCGAGTCTCAAACTATCACTTTATTAAATCGCATCTGAATCGGTTAACCGGTTTAAGCGTGAAGAGGTAACAGACGAACAGACAGACACACTTTCGAATTTATAATATTAGTATGGATGTAGAGGGCTAATGTAAAAATGGGTCACCTTTTGATACGATACGCCCATACGTTGCAAGCCTTTGAAGTGGGAATGTTCTCTATTCTTTAAGGTGTGAATGAGGTATCGGTCAAATACTTCAGACGAAAAATTTAATAATATAACAACGAATACATCTAGTTGAGTACGGGTTGTTAGATGAAACAAGAAATTAAACAAACTTGAAAATCCACACGTAATACTTACATTAATACCGGCTTGTTAAATGTCACGGCTTACACAGTTGCGATAATTAGTTATTATACTGCAATATGTAAATTTATATATTAAATTGTAATTATTTTAACCTTCCAGTTTATATTTTGAGATGTAATAGATAACATATATAAGCACTTTAATAATTTAGTTAATGTGTTATTGTTATTATTCTGTTGTAATAGGAATTAGAACAAATCTCAAGGTTTGATGTAGCGAAGTGTTGCTGTGAGCACCTACTATATTATATAGTAATAGATTTCTTTTGAAACGTTGCGTAATTCGTAAAGCAATTAGGCTCCGGTAAAAAACTGTTGAACACATCTCTTACCTGTAAAATATATGAAGTCTTCTGATTTCGATTAATCTCTACAACCAGTTAAGATGAGTCATCAACAATTGGAAACCACCTAACTTTCACCCTTTTCAAGTTAAATCAAACGCGATTTTCCCTTTATTGATTGTCTTTCTTTCTCTATAACGTCTTTACATATGCATTGCGACTTACGACATTCTATCCTGTTTTTCTGCGCGGAAATCACCTCGGATACCACCCACCGGTGGGGTGGTTATGTCGCACTAAGAATTCAGAATATACTTTTTCATTTGAGCTTTTGTTTTTCAAGTTGGTTGAGCCGCAGGAAAGCTAGGTGTGCAGACATTTAACTTAATACTTCGGAACAGCATGAACATAGAAAATTCCCAAAACACAATAGAATTCAGTTGTCTCAATACTGATAATCAAAATGAAGCATCAGTCACTTTCGAAATATCATTATTTCATATCTGCAAAGATGTTAATTACGTTATATTTTCAAAATATTAAAAAGATAAATTCAAAATATTAAGGATATTAAGTGTTGACAGGACTAATTTTGTAGCTTAGCTATACATAAATAGGTAATTTCATTATTTTATCTCAAACGGTATAGCTGGGTCCATAAAAAAATATAAATATACAATAAGTATGAGTTGTACGTAGGGATGTATTCGTGGACATGTACGACTAAGTTAAAACACAAAGGACTAAGTACAAAATGTGCACGTTTTTGAAGTAACAATGAAAAAGGCGGTTACTCCCGGATGGCGAGGAAAAATGAAATATGGCAGCCGCAAGGCCCACGTCCCTTTGGTGACCCGTTGGGCTACGTAATATTATTATACCTTAAACCATTAATATGTTCTATTTCTAAAGGAGGCTAAAAAGGTCATTAATTTCATTTAAAGTCATTGCATCAATGAAAAAAAATAGTGTTGTTAAAAATGTAAATTAGCCAAAAGAAAACTGTTTATCACGTGATTACTTGATGACTGTAGTACATTAAATGTATCTAATTTAAATGTTGATGTAAAAAAAGATTTATTTTAATTGTGGCACCATATCTGCGCCTACGGTAGACTAATTTCAACGTTGTTATCAACCGGCCCTGTGGCGCAACGGATAACGCGTCTGACTACGGATCAGAAGATTCCAGGTTCGAATCCTGGCAGGGTCGCAGAATACTTTTTGCATTTTATTATTTTTTATTTTCTGTAATAACAAAAACTATTGCTAAAAATAGTTTATAAAAATATTTATCTTCTTTTACGAAACCGATTCCACGAACATTCTGTCGTTTTTGTCAATTTTGAGAAATAAGTTTCTTGCAATAAGTGAGCGTTATGTTACATAGATAGCTGTAGTTCTAATAGTATTCTAATAATAATAATTGAACATGTCTTTGGAACTCTCCCTTTTTCAATAATATTTTTTTTAATTAAGAAAGCAGACAAAACTTGGCTTGATGATAGGCTTGTCCTGCCTGTACCAGATAGGTAGAACTAACTAGTGCCTGAATATTTATATAAGAAATAAGAAGTAGATTTTTTTTAATAAAATTATCATTAAACTATAATTTATTCAATAACCAAAAGTACAGGGCCCAATATTATAGGGCTTTAAAAAAATGCTTTATTGTAAAAATAGCCTTTTCTAAAAACAATCTCTGGAAGTATGTCATCAGCCCTTCTTCTGCTTAAGAGTATCCCTTTTAAGAAAGAAGAACTAATAACTCCGTTTATACGTGGAATGCATGTTATCTAGCGTCTGCTTAGTTTTTGTCTCTGATGTAGTGCTGTCTTCACGGATTAATATCTTAAACGTGACTCAAGATTCGGTCCATGCTACGCTTAAAATAAGAAAACAATTTAAGTGGGCTTCACTATACAAGATGTGACACAGTTTGCTTTCTCGAAGACGCCGTCAAGGCCCACGTAAATTTATCATTTATAACAAACTCCTGTGAGCTGGAACTGGTTCCAATGGATTTAGCCAAGTGGGGATATTCCCTGCACGTTATTAAAAGCCTAACAAAATAATAATGAAATAAGGATACGCTGTTCTGTTAGAGTCAACCAATTAATACTACTACGAGCTTTGTACTGTTTTCGGGTTTACTTAAAAGACACTGCACTGGTTACCTTAAAAACTACTAATATATTCCTTAACCTATATTTGCCTTATGTGATCCGGAGTAAAGCAACATATATTGTTTGTAGGTCAAGGTGAGAGTTCTCGTACGGTCATAACTCTCTTTAAACACCTAAATAATGTATGCTATATTGTCCTAAATAACGCTGCTTCTATTTTGCGTTCATGTATCGTTTATCAAAAGTATTTCAATTAACAACCAAGGATATTTATAAAGTTGAAACATACGTCAAACGTTTTAACTTTACGGTATTCGAAGAATTTCTTTTGTAAATCCAGTTGCAAAATATGTGACGTTTATTTTTGTATAAGGTAAACATTTAATAGAATGAGAAAAAGTTTCCAGCAACTCTGAGTTACAGGGGCTCTCCTTGAAAATATAGTTCGTAAGTAACATGGAAAGTGAGTTTTCTAGTTCTAGTTTTCCTCTATATTAGAGTATAATCTTTTGATTCTTCTTATACATCATCATACACAGTCATATATGCTGTGACCTTAACGTACAAGATGATTGACTTCACAATAAATTAGTCCAAAACCCTCGTCTATAGAGCTTTTTAACACCACATTTATATACACGTTATAACGATTCTGTCTGTGAAATGAAGTTTCCTTCCGGATATATCACAATGTGGGCTCGACATTCGCAGCTGTCTCTGTTGTCTGCATAAAAAAAGCAAAAAAAGATCAGGCCAGACGCGCCCGTAAACAGTCAATCTAGTGCGGCTACAATCGTACATCTGAAGAACACACGCGTAGAACGAATTGCTGTTTTAATAAAGATATTAACTGCTAAACAAATAAACTCTTTTTGGAGCGCATTTTGATGAATTTAGCAGTGAAATTTGTCATGCTAATAAGAACAACTATAGAACAACAATAGTCTACCGACTACAGAATGAGAAAATGACCCAGTTACATGCGTTTAAACTAACAAAGTCCTTGTTTTGATTATATGTTTTTCATGATATCCTCATCATACAGAAAAGTGCAGAATCGTACTTTCACACGATTCAGCCAATAAATAACTAAGTGTTTTTGAAACAATTGGATTTTGTAAACATGTAAATAATGCATTTGATACCACTTTTACAATTATATTCGCACAATGCTTTAATATTTTTGTATTTAGATATTGCCAACATATTGTTCGCCTAGTTTTCTTAAAATAAACGTATATCGAAGTCGTATGACTTATGATATGATATACAAAAATCCAAAATGCTTTTTTACAGTCGACCATTATCAGAATATAATATAATATTTTTTTTTGGTATTTATACTTTTGCACTGAAACGTGACTAAGGTATAAATGGGGCAATGCAGAGGTCATGGTAGACGCAGACCAACTGAAAAAGAGATTTTGTGACAAATATAACATAATATACATAGATAGTGTGTAAAACATTTTTTTAATAAGTAATACATATACATAAGTAATAACGATAATAACACATGTAATAAATACGTATTTAGATACACACATACGTTTCGTATATCTCTAAATATATTTTTCCAGTCTCGGTGACCTTTGTGAATAATACTTGCCCTTGTGATGCAACGTACAAAGTAATCTTGGCTATTGTACATTGACGTACAGAACATCTATTACAAACCATGGATTTTTGAAAAACTTTTCTATCACTAGATATAGTTTAAAATAGTCAAATAATAATCCAAGCACCGAAGTTTTTTAGGGAAAGCGATTCACCTAAAGGTAAACTATTCGATTAACTGCAAAATGGTCAAGTTTCATATAATTTTTTAAATAGTGTTGGAGCTATTCAATTTCCTTGTTTGGTAATATTTAAAAAAATTGCATTTGCGTTTATACTGCCTTGAGTAAACTTAATTATTTAGAGAATATAATAATATGTTTATATAATCCGTACTCTTTTCTCTGACTTCGTTTTCAAAGCATTATCCCGGTGTAAAAAAAACTATTTATCCTTGCGTACCTTAGCGCTTATTTTAAAACTAATAGTGTAATGTTGTTGTTTCAGATAAACCTGCGTTTAATTTTGGTGTCCGGCAAGACGAAGGAGTTCGTGTTCAGTCCCGTAGACTCGGCGGGTGATATTGCAATACATGTCTACGACAATTGGCCCGAAGGTATTATATGTGTACTCTACTTTATATTTACTACTAGTTCTATTCTGCTGTAGCTGTGTGTGACCGCGTTCTTTTGTTTTCTATGGTAAAAGGGTCAGACAGATCAACTGATTGTAAATAACCAGCATCACTATGATCATTGCGAAGCTCTTGTCTTTGTGGAAATAGTTTTAATTATGATACTTGAAATAAAAAAATGCAACGCAACACAAATGATGCTCTCGAACGCTGGATGACACTGGCAGCCTGTGAAAATGACAGGCTAAATGAAACACGAGATATCTCCGAACGTAAATTTTCTACCCCCAAACATAGTAAATAACAAATAACTCACAGTATTTAAATACTAGCCTTGTGAGAGGAAATAGAGTACTTGATTCAATAGTCCTTTTACGTGACTCGTCTGCTCATCTGCCCCCTTTTCAATAAAAATAAGACGGGTCGCCTGATGGGAAGTGACTACCGCCGCCCATGACCGCCTGCAACTCAGGAGTCACAAGCTCGTTGCCAACCCTAAAATTAGCATAAAAATTTATAACACTATAAATAACAACCCTAAATCGTGTGTCTCTCATCGATCAGTCTTAAGTATTTCTGTCTATGCTAAACAAAAATTTTGTGGTTCCCGCGCCTTCAATATCATTCACTCGGTAAAAATCAATGAAAGAAAAGAGGAGCCCCCCCCCCCCGCCCTTCTCCTTTTCAAACTTTGTTAAAGATTCAATTTTACTATTGTAGTGAGATTACGCATTCGGGCGCTTCTGTTTCAATCGTACTGTAAAACGACTATTGAATCGAATCAATTACTCAATTTCCTCCCACAAGGCTAGTATTTGAATACTGTGAGTTATTTACAATGTTTGGGGTGCAATAAATATCCTCTGTCTGGGTGTGCAGGGGATAAACGATGGGGTTGCTATGGAGTGTGTTCGCAACATTTATGGAAATCAGCTCACCGTGATACGAGTACAGCAGCCTAGAGTTTGCAATGGTGCTGCGGGATGGTTTGGCGAGATACGGCCACATTTGTATACCGTTTGCTTGTCTAGATAATATGTAAAAATGAAAGCATTATGATCAGATATTTATGAGTTATGCAGGGCAGATATAAAGTGTTGTTCAAATCAGATTATACTAAACGTAATCTACCTAGGGACCGTGCTTGTTTATCTTTATCTACAATGTAGATTTAATCATAAATTTATATTTTTTTAAATGGTTGACCCTATATAGTTTGACCCCGATTAGCCATATGTGTGTGGCACATTTATAAAAAAACACTATCTAATTGCCAGTTGGAAAAGTTTACGAAGATACTTGGCCTTTTTTAGTGACTAGATCAGATCTGGAGTGATCTGATGATCACTCCAGAGTGATAGATATCACACTTCTCCTTGTAATGTATTCCTAAGGGTTATACTGCTTTATAAACCACTAGCTGCGCCCCGCGGTGTTACCCGCGGCGTATCAATTCCTTGCTCATCCCACGGATACACTTCATTTTTTTACGTGTTTATTTATTTACATATTTATTTTTTACGTGTGGAAAGTCTCTCCGAGGAAGTAACAACCATACAAACACACATACTCACAAACTTTTGACTCAGTAATATTGGTGAGATCAGTCTTTAATAGTCTTAGTTTTTAGTCAATGGGTGAGGCCTATGTCCAGCCGTGGACTGGACGATCCCATTTGACTCGACTAAGTTTAAACGATATTTACAATATAAGTAAATATGATAATGTCGCAATGCCGTGGCACTAAAGTTTGGTTATAACCAAACTTAACAGTGTTATAACACAACTTACATGGATTACCATAATCACGAGTTTCGACTACTAATTGGTACCGTCAACAGAATAAATACTCTAACTTAGTTGGCTCTAGCTGCACAGTTTCATAACAATTAATAACACCCGGGAGACTTTAAATTCATTGTTCAATACAAATTCACTCACAAATTAACTATGTTAGCGATCTTCTTCAAAATGTGAGAACGAGTTAACTTTGTAAATTGACTTATTACATATTTCTCTTTAAAACATGTTAGTCGACAGCTGAACGCAATTCTTGGCGTATCTTTACAAATAAATAAAATTGAAGTGTCTGTTTGTAATGTGTAAATAATAGGTTTTTTTCATGCTTACACGGTTATTTGCACGGTACCTATGCCTAAAAACCAGTTTAAATATTTTTTGTCCGTCTGTCTGTTTGTTCTGGGTAATCTTTAAAACGGCTGCACCGATTTTGATAATATTTTACTACCAAGTAGCTGTCTATATAAGGAGTAACTTAGGCTGTTTTTTCATTCAAAAAACCCTATAAAATTTTGCCTAGTCCGGGAATCGAACTCACTAAAGCACCGCGTTTCAAATTCCACGCGAACGAAGTCGCAGGCACCAGCTAGTATATATATATATAACATTTAACTTCATTTGATTGAGGACAGATCGCTTATTCACTTTTTTAAACTTCACATAAACTAACTTTCGCACTTTATCACTCTTCTAGAATATCATTCACACTAATGATATTGATTCACACAAAAGATTTGATGATTTAAGAAATAATGAATACATTTTTAAATAATAAAATACATTTAACCATCACTTTTGGTTTTTCCCTGTCTCTCTGTTCAGATCAATATTGGCTTTATAGTATTAAATCGATGTAATCAGAACATTCTGATTAAATGTTTAAGTATAAATGTCGAATATCTGTAACCGGTAGTGTTATTGCTATAACTTCTCTTTGAATCGCATACAAAACCAGTTTTGTTAACCTCTCTAAATATTTTTCAATCTCACTTGAATGTTAAAGTAGTACAACCTACAGTTTTCAATAACGCAAAGGTCACTAACACAGTATGAATATCTACGTTGGTATACAAAGGGATAGCTCGTGACCGCGCATTTTGTTTCAAAAAGTAGTGATGCTGTTCATAAATTTGATTTAAGCATGTACTTTTTATTTGAGATTTTATGTAATTAAATAAAACAGTGTAGACTTGTAACATCGTGTCAAGCAAACATTGGCATTTGATTGTGAACAAATCCGATGTAATCAGTATTAAAGTTGTTACAGCCTGTTAAACTGTGTAAACGAAAACACAACCCATTTGACTGATATACCTCTCTATGAATACCTAAAAAGAGAGTTGGTGTAAACCACTCAAAGACGAGGCAAGTTTACTGGAAGCTCACTTACAATTTTTTGTAGATCGATCAAAATGAGATTTTGTTCATCTATTTTTATATTTATAACTTAAAGATTTATACTGTCTATGAAATGAGGCGCAAAGGGTTTACAATTAAAAATTAAAAAAAATATCGTTTGCGATATTTCCGGACCGATACGACTTCCAAACCTTAAAAAAAAGTTGTGACTCCTGAGTTGCAGGCGTTTATGGACGGTGCTAGTCGCCTTTCCATCAGGATACCCGACTTCTTGTTTGCCCCCTCTTCAATAAGAAAATTGTCTCTTTTATCTAGATACGGCGTTGTACATACAGTCTTACAGAAAGATATTTATGCAATAGTGTTACATATAATACATAAACACTCAACATAATTTTATTCACGGTTTATGAAATCCTTAGGTCAGTTGCTACTCGATTTATTTTATTTTACGTATCAATTTGTACATAGCATGATAAGATCGTTTTACTACCTTTGGAGTGTAGTTTGACATGGTATATATGATAATACGTACCTATGTGTCCACCGAAGAAAAGTAACATAAAAAAGCTTGGTCTAAAACTGTATAGACAACTAAAATTATTTTGATTCTATCTAGAAATGTCAAAGGTTTATCTTTTAAACTTTTATATTAATATAATAATATAATATAAGCAAATAATATGACGTATCCCTGCTCTATGTCCATAAAGCAAATAGTTACTTTAATTTTATTAACAGTGATAACTCCGTTTCGTAGATAAGCTTCAAAATACTGAACTCCAAGCAAACTCTATCTTGTCGCACATATGATGTTATGGTAGTTTTATTTTGAATGTCTTTAGGAAATGTATGAGAACTTTATACGAGTATAAGCAGTATAAATATAACGTTTTACGAAATATTTAAGCGGATCAAAGATCACAAAATATACACGACACCGAGTAAAATAGCTCGATTACGTTATAAGATGTTTCTTTATAAGGCAACACTCGACATTATTGGAAATATGATTACTAACGAGAAAACGGTATTCATTGCTATAAAGGCGGCATGAATTTCACAAAGAAGTTGAGTACATTTTGTTGAGTATTACATTCACCATTCGTATATTTATCTGTATAATTTTCCGAAATAATAAATAAACATAGGTACATATTCTTTTATATAAACACAGCGCTGAGTAGCCAATTTTAACTTGTTATAGAGTTTGGCTATATGATTAGTAATTGGTAATGTATGCCAAAACTAACTAATCTTATAGAAAATTCTGCAGAAAATCACTAGATTTGTACAAAAAATATTAGTTTTAAAAGTTATATTTTCATGCCAAATGTCATTAAATAAAGGGTCTTGACAGACGGACAACAAAGTGATCCTATAAAGGTTCCGTTTTTTCTTTTTTAGTACGGCACTCTAAAAACCAACATATTATATCATCATATACATACATGTATGGATCGGCGCTAAATTCTAACACTACGAAAGTCGGCAAGTAAAACAAAATTTGAAATTTTTGGCAAAGTTAATATGCTCACTATCTCAAGGCGACACATGACTTCGACTTCTGTTAATAGTAAAATATACGGGGAGGAAGGATAGGAGAAGCTACATGCCCAGCAATGCGATACTTTCTGTAAAGGGCAGAACCTAATTCCAAAGTTTCTTCATTACATCTTGACAATAACTGCTTCAAGGCTCAGTGGGCTTTCATTCCCATCGAACTAATATTTTTTATTCGATTTACAAAGAGCATGTGTCAGTCAACATATGTCAGACACGCCAGATAAAGAATGAGGTCTGTAAAAAGGACAATTAAGTATCATTCTCGATACATGTGTTGGGTGAGGTCAGTTACCGCACGAGTTACCGCGCACGTGTGAAACAGACTTTATTGGATGATTAGGCACAGCAATGTGTATAACCTTACAGGTCATTCGCTGCTTTTTAAATTAATTAATCTTTGAATATGCTATGAAACTTCTTATTTCACCTAAGTTAAGTGTTATTAACTTTTTAACCGACTTCAAAAAGGAGTAGGTTATCAATTCGGATGTTTACATATATTTTGTATTCCGAAATGGTCTCATTGAAATTTCATATAGAGCTGATGATGAGTTTCGGAGACAGACAACGGAACTCTTCAAAAAATGACAGCAAATTAACTTAGATTGCTGCTAATTTTTTAGTACTCTTTGTTAGTGTTTGAATATTAGTATTGTTTGGTTCAACTTTTTTAAAGTATTTTTTATTATTTAAATACTTTGGTCCGTACATACCTTTTTTGTAGTATAGGGTAAAGGAGAAAACGGGTTGCTTGATGGTAAATGACTACCGCGGCCCTTGAACACCTACAAGCCAGGTGATACAACTCCGGTAACATCACTCACTCGGCGATAAGCTATGAAATAATTGCCTAACACCGGTTTTCTGTGACGCCATGACGCCCATATGTGCTGAAGCATCACTCTTCCACAGTTAAAATATATAATAATAATAGCAGTCGTATCTACTCACGGATTGATAGCCAAGAGCCTCGGCCGACACCTTAAGAGGGTCACGTTAGATGGCTGGATCAAGGCTCTGATGCAGAAGGCAGTTCTCCTTGACATGGTCCGTGTAGTGAGGAGGTTCCTGTCTTTGGAGTCCTAACCACCGGTGCCTTGATCCCTGTACCCGATGTCGGTGGTCTACTATTTTCTAGATTTTCAATTTTTGTTTTCTTTTGTAATATATTTAAAAAATTAATCAATACGTATATATAATGTAATAAAGTATAATAATAATAATTAATATTTCGAACACCTAACATACAACGCCATTTAGTTTCAAACTAAGCAGAGCTTGTAATATAAAAACTAGATTGTCTGATAGAATACTTATATACTTTTGTGGAAATACATACATTTTATACATAGAATAGGAAAAATAAAATATAAAGAATAGATTACTATTTAATTCTTTGTAATATTTTTATTCTAAGTTATACCATGATACAGTTCTTTTAAAGCTTTAACTGTCACCTATTCGAATTTAGCAACTAGGTAGTATTTTGTAGGTATTGCAAGTGTCTAAAAATACGAAAAATAGATACTTAAAAGACTGCGTAAAAGGGGTTTTTGACGGCCATTAACCTGTACTTAACGTCATTGGTTTTTCAAATACCCATAAGCGGTAACGTTTTAAACCACATATTTAACATTTATTATTCATTAAACTACATAACACATAATAGGGTAGATTCCTGGGTTTAAAATAAATTATTTCGCCTGCATCGTTAAATGTAACATCTCAAAGTAGAACCTGAATTGTCCTCCATTATCAATTTAATGTCTTTATTGATTTGATATCTTGATATCAACATTAAATATAAATGATTTGACAATAGCTAGGTATGACGTCACGAAATAGTATTTCATACAAAAATGTACCGCGTCTAGCGTTTTGACGTTTAAAAAAAAGTTACTGATTTGACTTGACAGTCATCTACCCTATTAGGTGACTCAAGCATGTGTCTCTTTTTCCCACCGAAGCTGGTATGCGAGACAGTTTATTTATCTTATCTGTTAATTTAGACAATTTGTGCCAAAATACAACACTTACTGCTTACGTCATGCCATGCATTTAAAAAGTACCTTCCTGACCAATTTTAGAAAAAGTAAGAACCAAATATTTAAGAATTTCAAAAGTGCTTCCTTAGTAGTGTAGTGCGACACGCGACTGCAGTCCATTAGGACTCGGGTTCGATTCCCGGACCAGGCAAAATTTTATAGGGTTTTTCTTAGAGGAAAAATGGTATTACATGGTGTTTACTTTAACTTAACTAACTTATTTTATCGAATAGGGGGGAGAAAGCAGACGGTTAACTTGATCTTAAGTGACTACCGCTGCAGCTCTATAAGTCACAAAGCGTTGCCGCATTTGGACCCCTCCCTACCCCGCCCCTCCCTGATTATAAAGAAAGGCTCTGGCTCTGCAAATCTTACTCACTAGGCAAAACAACGAAAGAATTGCCTAACACTAGTTTTCTGTGAGACCGCGGAATCACTCCAATCGAGGCGGCACATTTGTGTCGATCGTGCCTGTCACACGATAAAAACTTAAAACTACTTTAACTGTACCAAAAGAACATAAACAGCCAAACGTCTGCAGATAGCCGATATTTATCGTTCAGTAACAAAACATTCGGTGTTCCGTTCACGAGTTATCGCCGACGCTCGCCTACTTAGTAGATAGTGGCGCTGCCTGGTGGCGACTGATTTACGGAGCTTAGCTTCGGACGGTCCTTCGACCTTGCCCATCGCGAGCACAATGGTTTCTACAATTATTAAAAAAAAGAATTGGTTGTTCTTACATTCGTTTCGTAACCTTTTCGTATTCCGAAGATAATGCTGGAGTAGGTAGTAAATCTATAGTTTACATATATTCCATATAATATATGTCAGTTAATAAATTTAAATTATTTTTAAATATGTAAAACTAAAAATATCATATTAATATTTTGCTTAGAAACTTGTTAGTACTAAATACTTAATAGTAGCCGGTCTGGATATTATTGAATGTGTAATCTTTTTGTTTCACACCTTATTTGAATGCACACAAGGTAGAAGTCTAATACCCTGGTCTACAAATTTGCCGATTATAGGATAAAAGGTCATGTACAAAAATATAAAATGAAGACAAAGCTGTTTAATTTTATAATTAACCTATACACCTACTTCTAAATTCAAGGGTACCAAGGTGATTTCTAATATTAAAGTCTAAATATTACGTCACTGTTTATGTCTAATAATACTACAAACTAAAATAATTATAAAAATATTTAGGTCGCAAAGATTGTTTTATTAAAAACAACGCCATCTGTGTCATATTTTGTAACTCCATAGTAGCTACCTATCTGTGTGTACACTTGTATTAGTGTTACGTTTTGTAGTGTGTGTATCAAGCGCATATCCAATAGTCATCCGTATTTACAACAACTTAACTGTCAGCCTCCATAGCTCAGGGGTTAGAGCACTGGTCTTGTAAACCAGGGGTCGAGAGTTCAAATCTCTCTGGGGGCAGGAATGATAATTATCTTTTTGTATTTTTTCACTTATTTTTACATATTTTATTATAATTTTATTACACTTAAATTTAAATTATTTATCTTTTAAATGACAATTTTATTGATTTCAAACTTTGTCTTCATAAAATGTTAACAAATTAGATAGCACTAACATTTTGTAGTGTTAGTAAAAAAAATAAAATGTAAATAAATATAATAACATAATTATTTTATTCGTAACATTATTGTAACACATGGGCTGAAAAGTCCCGGGCCTAACAAAGAAAACACAGTTTTTTTGGTTCAAAATTAGCTTTAATCATCAACGTAATCTCCATCAAGAGCAATGCAATCATTCCAGCGCCGCTCTAACATTTCAATACCACTTTTGTAGAACGATTTATGTTTTGCCTCAAAATAGGCCTCAGTTTCAGCGATAACCTCTTCATTCGTGCGAAATTTCTTACCGGCGAGCATTTTTTTCAGGTCTGCGAACAGCCAATAGTCGCTGGGAGCCAAAAGCTGGCGAATACGGTGGATGTGGGAGCAATTCGAAGTTCAATTCATGTAGTTTTGACACTTTTTTGATTGACTTGTGACACGGTGCGTTGTCTTGATGAAACAAATTTTTTTTCTTTGCCATATGCGGTCGTTTCTTTGCAATTTCGGCCTTCAAACGCTTTAATAACGCTATATAATATTCACTGTTAATGGTATATTTCCTTTCTCAAGATAGTCGATGAATATTACACCACGCACATCCCAAAATACCGAGGCCATAACCTTTCCAGCCGATTGTTGTGCTTTCGGGCGCTTTGGACGAGGTTCACCAGTTGCTGTCCACTCAGATGACGATTGTTTTGATTCCGGAGTGAAGTGATGGATCCATGCTTCATCAATTGTCACATATCGACGCAAAAATTCGTTGTTACGTAAATTAAATTCGTTGTTTCGTGCTAAAAAAATTGTTACGTTTAAACATGGCCAAACACTGCTAAGAATCATCAACACGTTCTCGTTTTTGGTCAACAGTTAGTAAACGCGGCACCCACTTTGAACAGAGCTTTCTCGTAGTCAAATGCTTATGCAATATAAAGCCAACACGTTCTTTTGATATCTTTACGATGTCAGCTAACTCACGCAACTTCACTTTTCGATCATTAAAAACGATTTTGTGGATTCTTTTTATGTTTTCTGGTGTTACCGCCTCATTTGGACGTCCACAGCGTTCGGCATCATCGGTGTCTCTACGACTATGTTTGAAGTCAGCTAACCAACGTTTTATTGTTGTTTCTGATGGGGCGGAGTCCCTATAACACTTTTCAAGCCATTGCTTCGCTTGAACAGTATTTTTTCCCATCAAGAAGCAGTGTAAAATTAAAACACGAAATTGTTTTTGATCCATTGTTTTGAAAATAACAAAAGTAGCGTCACTCTTAGCACAATAACTCACAAACGAATGAATAGAATATCATGAAATTCTAACAGCTGTCTTTTGAAGGTTAGTATTAACTGAAAAAAAGGTGACTGCAATAAAACTAGCGCCATCTATGTGTTAGGCTCGGGACTTTTCAGCCCATGTAATATATTTAACGATATGTATGACTTAACTTCATGACTACTTAAATGTAATTTATCACAGTAAAACTATTTTCTGATTATATTGAGAACGAAGAAACCGCAGATTCTCATAAACTGTTTACTTAAATGAGGTCTAGGGATTGACTGAGTGAGGTGTTAAAACTAACACGTGACTTGATGTAAATTTCAGCGGACTGGGCATCAGAGATGGTATCGCGCGCCGAAATCTTGCGACTGATCTACCAGGGCCGGTTCCTGCACAGCTCCGTAACACTAGGCGCTCTCGGCCTACCCATGGGCCGCACCACGGTGATGCATCTCGTGCCGCGCGAACACCTGCCCGAGCCCAACTCACATGGTATGTCCACACCCACACTTCCGTCATTTCCATATGATATATTTGGCTTGTGTGAGTACTTAAAATGGTTTTAAAGGTATGCATCGACTAGTGTAGTCGCTGTTTATAGCCCTCCCACAGATGCTTCCTTTGCAAAACTAAATGATACAATTATTAAAAAGCCGTATAAATTCAAAATGCTCCCGAATGTCTGATTAATATATTTTTAAATAAATCCATTCCTCATAGATTTACTTTCAATAGAAAATAATTTTATATAACTAACCAAGATTTACTTTGCAGAAGTACGATGGAGTTAACCTTACCTACCCCTTCTCTGTTTCCTACTTCCTTCCTATTAACCCTGTAAGTCCTTATCTTGATTAACTTTACTACCTGACAAATATTTTAGTCCATTATAGTTAATATTTTGTTAGTTGGTTTCTAAATAATGAAATGTTTATTTTCTATTTCGCAGATCAAAGGCAAAAAAGTAAAGGTGGCTCAAGCAGTTGTTGTTCACCATCTTGCTGCATATTGTAATGGTTCCGCGTGCGAGGGTAACGCACATACGCGCGCGGCAATGGGAGCGAGTGAGAGAGGTGACACCGTGCCGGGAGACGGACTCCAATGTGTTCAGTGTAGAAGCCAGGATACCATGTCGCCCAGAACAAAATCTTGTGATGTTTTTAAACGAAATCTTACAAATTAAATGTTTGCGTAGCTCACTCCATATCTGTTATTGTCAATTTGAGTAGTTTATATTTACAAAGGAATACAATCATGCACGAATTATACAAAAATAAAAAAAGATGTTAAAACGCACATGAAAGCTTCATTTAAAAACGTCGCAAGTGTACAAACATAGCTATTTCATTTCGTCAAAATTATGAATAGTTTTATGAAACGATACTTTATATGTCACCACGTAAGTTATAACTCGTTTTTAGATATCGTGTTGCTGATAATACGTTAACGTTAGATAATTGGGATAAGGTGTCGTCGGTGTAATAAGCCTATCATTTCAGTTCCTGGCCTTCATAGATTTGGTTTTGGCTCCACATTAAACATTACAAATCCCGGCTGAACTTGTTGATTTACAAATATATTAGTATTATTATTTAGGCCATCGTTATTATAAATTTATTGATATTTATAAAAACAAAATAATGACAAATTATTTAGTGAAACAAACGAAGTGTATAAATTACCTTATTTTGCATTGTAAATAGTATAACTGTAATAAGGGAAACTTCATTATTACTGTTTCTGATAAGTTCTTGCAATATATTTTCGTTTATTTTTAAATTCCTAAATTATGCTATTTACTGCGCTAGATGTAGGTATTATGGGAGCACCGTCATAGCTCATACATACTGTTTATTTGACTAAACACTGTGTATACTAGCACGACGCGGCGACTGGAGAACTCGACAATGTTAAATTTTAGTATAATAAAAAGCACTAGAATAAATTTCAAATATTTAAATATGTCTCGCTTATGAAGTCTGTACATGCCTGCATTATATTTACACGTTATAGAAGGCACCTTTTATTTTCAATAGATGTCTTTTGAACTCCAGCTCTTGGTTTGGCAGGCTCCCCTCTATCCGTTACTGCGCAATCGTCTCATCTGTAAATATCGATAGAACTATATCTTTACATAACAGATACAATATATTATATTTTTTATTTGGCATTTTATATAGTTTTAAATCATAATCTTTATTGTGAAATTGTCTTTAGAATTGAGTTGTCATTGAATACCTTAACGGCCTTTTTTTTTTGTTATAAGCTTAATATATATAAATAAAGTTGTGTTCAAATGACTGACCGTCTGTATGTAGCAAGCTCGTAACGTTTTATGATAGTACAAATAAAATTATTTACACGTTCAGACGTATTCGAAGGAAAGTACTCGGTGATAACATTAAACTCATTAGACAATTTTATTACAGTATTAGAGAGGAACTTAAATACACTGACAGGACTGAATGTCGGACATGTTGCTTCATTTGTTCCGAACGCGGAGTGAAAACCGAGAAGAGACCTTGAGTGTGCACTGTCATTACAAATTCCTGATGACTGACCAACAAGGAGTTACAAATCTTTACACTCTCATGAAAGAAAATCTTTTCTACCTCCTCCACACAAAGAATCAGCTTAATATTTCGCAGCACCTTTTACTTTCGCACATAAAATATCTGTTTTCCGTTATCACCAAATCGCAGACTTCCGCACATGAGCCAATGGTTTTGATCAGTTCCAATGCTTCTGCTAGGAAAATGATGATATCTAAAGAATGCCATCGCATAACCATCTTACTGTCCAAATGATGGACCGTCTTCAAAATCCGCTACTAGTAGAATGTGGTAGGAGAAACCTTTTCTTTTGAGCTGTCATCTTGTTTCTTATTTATATAGATACGTACCGTCTACGAATAATAAATTATTCGTAGCGTACCATCCACTACACTTGATATTTCTAGCATTATCATCATCAACAGCTTTTAGTAATCCCCTGCAGGAAAAATGCTTCTCCTTAGAAAGGAGGCTTATTATAATGAGGGAATATGCTCACTCACATACTAACGGGTCAGCGGGCTGACATACATGGTTTTCTAAAAAAAAAAATCTCTTCAAAGATTACACCCGTGGTTCTAATGACGTGGTCTAAATAGAATTAAAGACGACTGAAATAGTTCTTGCCAAACAGTGACGGATAAATTTCCCTGGAATGAATGCAGCAATATGAGTTAGCCTAGGCAGTAACGATGCCTGTATGAATGATTTTATTTTGGTTGCTCTGTTTAGTTAATGTATGTATGTATTTTGTTAAGTTGTATAAAATACCTAGTTTTTAAATAAAATAAATACAATTTTAATTTGCACGTTTAATTTTATTTCGCTTTTTCCTTGTGAACATAGATGGCGCTGTTGATATTTTTGTCTAAGCACTTTTTAGTCGTAAAGTAAATGGAAATGCTGACGGTGACACATTTTCTAAATCTTTACATATAATGACAATATTGTAACACCATTTAATAACTATAAACTCTTGTTCTTTCGCTATAAATTATCTTAAAGTGACACAGAGCAGAGACTCGCCACTTGCTACTTATTTTGTTGTAAGCATAGCATTTAAAACTGAAGGAAAGAAGATTACATTCTTTTATAATATTTAGTATAATTTTGAGCTCGTCACAGATTAGCTGGCATTGATTTTTAAATTAGTAACACTTTTGGCCTGTATTGCACGGTTGAAAAACCGTAATTCATCAAAATGTTGATTCCTCCTCACATCGACACATTTTTTTTCTATTTCTTACCATGGATGAAGCAGTAATCTTAAAATGGGTTTAAAAAAGCTTGTAACTACAATAGGACTGGGAAGCGTAGTCAGTTTTCGTAAAAAAAATGTTTTAGATGTTGTGTTCATTTCATTACTTCTTGGGTTATTATTATGGTGAAAAGAAGTGGTATGTGTTCAAAAATCTTCTCATATTTACTGACTTTAAGCTGTTAGCAGTTCGAGTTATCAATGGTATATGCGTATTATAGTTTCTTACGACATACATATGTACATATATGTGAGGAGCTTTAAGGAAATGGATACTGTTATGATGCACTTATATATCCTCGATGAGCACAGGGATTAAGTTAAAATCTGACGCACATGACAGCCATGTATCGCCTATGTTTTTTGTATAAAGTGCTCTGCACTCCTAATAAACACGAAAAATACTACCAAAAAATATGTCGCGCAATACTTGCAAAAAATACTGATGTTGGTTACCAAATCAAGCTGGATACATTGACTTGACTGACTGCATACTTTGACTGAGCGCCGTAAACACAGGGCGTTTACGGCGCTCAGTCAAAGTATGGGACAATTAATACGCAGTAGCATATTATTATTATTACATCTTTTTAAAAAAGGAGCTAAAATACAGGTAAGATAAGGTCAAGGTATTTTCTTCACATCACATACCTACTTAACAAATACCTACTAAATGTACAAAGTGTACTTAGGTACTAAATGCTTATTTAAATATGTCACTGAGGGTTTTAAATGCTATTAGCTAGCTACCATATAGGTATTTCACTTTATTTCTTGTTCTACAATGTCATTTTTTCTTCATTTTCAACATTCAACATTTTAAAGTGTATTCACTAATTTTGCTGACTTGATTAAAAAGTATGTATTGTGTTGATATTATTTTGATATAAAACCTTATATTAGCAGGCCTACAGCTATGGCGAAATTAATTCTCTATTCGTAGATAAGTATCACATCTGAACATCTGAAATCTTGTTGCACTCTTTTGTACATTTTATGATAAAGCCAACAAAAATTCTTAAAAAAATCAATTACAACGTATTTTTTAATGAAATCAGCGCCAATATTTATGCACTGTGCAATATTTGTAGGTATAGGTTTTAATACTAATCTATAAATAATTCGATAAAAAAGCTTTTGTAAACATCTCCGGTATGTATAGTCGGGTAAATGTAGGTCGATTGGTTTGGAGTAAGGTGATATCTTAGAATTTAGGTCGATGTCTTCACCGTATTTTTAATATTTCCATTGAATAGTTTATAAAATAATCTGACAGCAAGATGTTCGTACCACAGCCTCGATAAAATTATTACAAATTATTGTTTACCACTATTAAATGCGCACATTTTTTTTCATTTATAATAAAGTTTTATGTTATTTTGTACCTAAATTAAACCATTCAGTTCATGCCTAAAGTAATATTAATATATATAATATAAAAATTTAAAAAATATAAATCGTATGCATAGCCAATAGCGTTGCTGCGTGTACCTGTAATTGAAATGCCATATAAGTATGTACTAGGTGGTCAGCCTATAAATAAATGAACAAATTATCCGTATTTACCCTGCACCGCAGCAAAGACAGCTCCCAGGCTGTTCTTATCTGGCAGTTTCAACACAAATCGATAGAGAAACGTATAAGGGAATAGAGAAATTCAACCAGAAACTATTAAAAAACAATTTAGCATGGTTTATCCATGCTAAATTGTTTTTTTAGTGGTTTTTGTATAATCGATAGGAAAAATTATACAGGATTTGCCCTGCTGTGTAAGTAAACAAAGACTCTCTGAGTTAAGAATATACCAACATTAACAGTTAGAATGGTAAGACATGATCACCCAACCTGTATCGAGCTTGATCGTTTTGTGTTCACTAATTCTATATTCCAAAAAACAGGTCGCACACCGTCAGACTACCATAACGCTGGCTTATGCACTCTATAGTCCATTTTAGAGTCAAAACAAAATACAAGTAGTGTCAGCTTACAGATATTCAATAGAAGAGTTAGACTAAATTTAAATCAACCATGGTAAATCAATGTTTTTTATTGAGTATCGGTAGTGACAACCTACATATGTAAATATGTGTTCCGAATAATCGGGTTGTGGTATGAAAAACGTGTAAATATTAAAATCAAATTAATTTAGAAAAATCTAGTAAGTGTATTATTTAATTAGCTTGAAGTGGGTATCTTCACAACCGTTGTGTGAGAACTGACAAAGATTTATTATATAATATTGAATATAGACCTAATAATATTCGAATAAGATTGTTTATTTATAGTAAAGTACAGAACTAGATGACAACATAAAAAACCTGTTATCTAGACCAAACGAAATAACGCTATTAATAATATTATCTTGGATTTTTTAAATACACCTATTTGTCTAATTATGGTGATTTACCAGTAATAACCTCTTTAGTTAATGATTTCGTCAGTTAGCCAGAAAATCAGGTATTACAAAATAAAATATAATGGCATTTTAGTTGCATGGCAGTTCGTCGAAGTTCAAGAAGGTCTATTACGAAAAAAAATATATATTTTAGGAATAGAATCTCAATTCCTGATAGTAAAGTTAAATGTGACGCACTACAGCTGAATGCTATATTACAGTCAACTAAAAAACTAACAGCTTAGTCCAATTAATTTCTTGACATTTTAAGTTATGCCTGTATTTCACCCTAACTCCAAATAACAAATAAGGAGTTTTAGGATTATCTAAGTAACAAACGACCGATTTCAACGATTTTTAGTGTCACGCTATTCCATGTGCGTTTTCTTCCAACCTTATGTTAAATTGAAACTTGCAATATTGCAATTTTCATCAACAGGTCTATAGCTAACAATAACTTTTTAAATTATTTTGAACTGAAATATCTGATGTTATTTGTAATAAACTCTTCCTTAAATCGTCTTCACCTGAAAGAGCTGTGAAACCACACACTAGGCGACTTGCGCTTACCAGTAACAATAGTAATTATAATGATTCTAGATCTAGCGAAAAAGTAGAATGACATTCGTACTTATGAATTTTTAAAATAATCTTTGCGTCACACAACGGTAGGTCTCATGTATTGTATTACAACATAAATATAATATAAAAATATTAGGTGTCCCTGTATAACAGTTGTTTAACGTACGTACATAATCTATATACTTGTTAATATTAATTCATAATTATAACGATGTTGATTAATTGTCATTTCGGTTCAAAATGTTCTACGGTTTGTTCCACTGAGAGAAGTATTTCGACTTTATTAGTCAAAGTTTTGGCGTAAATTATGTAAATGACTATTCATAAGGCCTTCAGGAGTCACTCGATTGAGATCTTCAGGATGAAAGTATTCAAATCATAATGCCTAAACTTTTAGAGAGAAAAAGATAATTAGTTGTCTCTTCATGCATTGAAATTTATACATGGAAATACATAAATGAATAAATTTTAATAACTATTCAGAAGCCCCCAAGATATTCATCCTTAATGTATGTAGAAGTAGCCAGACAAGATAAATTAACTGAAATTCTTGAGACCTGAACCATTTTTAAACAAAGTAAATATTCTAAGTGGCTGTTTTGCAGAATTTTGTTAATATTAATTAATTCACTATTAATTTTCTAGTTTCGTGAAAAAGGCAAAATGGCCACATTTTATAGATAAAAAAATTATTTCGTGTCTCAGTAATTAAAATGACAACTAATCAGAAAGTAATAGACTACAAAGCGCTAGGTTAATGATCGGTTGAGTCGGATCTGAGACATAGACAGCTAAAATTGAGATGTGTATTATTATTATTACATGTATGTATTAGAGATGTTTATTCCAAATGTGTTCTTAATTATTCGAATGTCGAATTCGAATTCGAAAACTTCTGATTGATTATTTTAAAAATAGAGATAAATTTTAATTTTCTCAGTGGATCTACTAATATTAGATATTTACTGAAATTTTTATTGATCACCGTGATCAGAGGGTAGTTGTAAAATCGCTTCAAAGTGTAAAGCCATGCGATTGTTTCTTTTAATTATGCGTGACGACTGCTCGTGTTGATAGTCGGATTATATTTTATAATTAATAATATAATCGATGGACACTATAGGTTGTACATTGTTTGAACGACTATTGAGTTTCAATGGGGTCAAATAAAGTTTTAAGAACATAATTTCTTGGCTTTTATTTATATACCTTGTAGTATGCTATTCACTAAAAAGTTGAATACTTTTGAGGTGTTTATAAGACATAGATGCAGAAGGACCCAACACCATGTTCTAATCGCGCTATACTGTCTGTGGAACAAATTATAACGGACTGAACTGTCTTAAAAGAGCGTACGCCTACCTCAAAAGCTGGCTTTGCATTTGTGATTCTAAGATCCAATGGCAGCGGTAGTCACTTACCGGCAGGTCCACTCCACTCCACACACAGGATTATAGTCTTTTATTAAGTAATACGATTCTAGTGTGTAGGATAGCCAGAGCTACAAGGGCTTGGGTATGATGGAGTAAGCAAATCATAAGTCACATTACTGGTTACTTTTCAAGAAGGAATATATAAAAGAAATATAGGGTATCCGTGTGGTGACGGATTTAGATAACGGAGTGTCACCACCCCTATTCATCCCGTGGATATCGTAAGAGCCGATAAAAGGAGCAACATCACTGCAAAGAGAAGGAAAACTTGACACAAACCCTATACCAACCTGTCTGGCCAGCTTGGTATAGTAGGCCAATACCTCCTTTCTAAGGAGAGGCCATATCCAGCAGTGGACTATTAAAGGCTGTTGATGTGAGGCGGGCTTGGTCTAGTGATTAATGACCCTGACTGCTTAGCCGGAGGTCGTGGGTTTGATTCTAACCCAGGACAAATATTGTGTGATAAGCACGGCCTTTTATTGTGGCTGGGTGTGCTATATCTATAAAATGTGTGTATTTAAAAATGTATTAGCATGTTTATCAGCAGTCTGGTTACCATAGTACAGGCTCTGCCTAGTTTGGGATCAGACGGCCGTGTGTGGGATATTATTGCTGGGTATACCACGCCCTCACGCCCGGTGTTAAGGGGTTCTTTCATTAATTTTCATTCACTCACTCGCGTTAGGTTACCAGAGCCCAACATTTACCCTTATTCTAAGGGGGCACTCAAACAACACACTTGTATCACTAGAGCTGCTGCAGTCGTCGATGGGGGGCGGTAGTCACTTACCGTCAGTTGATCAGTATGCTCGTTTGTCCCCTACATCATATAAAAATAGTAGACTAAAAACTTAAAAAAATCTTATACAAATGCACGGATGGCGTAGTTTTTTAAGCGGTCGCCACGCCGCTTCGTACTACACCGAGTGTTGTGGATTCAAACCCCACATGGGACGACACTTTGTGTGATCCACAAATTGTTGTTCTGAGTCTGCGTGTTCTTTGTGTCCGTTTTATGTATGTTTGTAAAGTCGAGACACAGGATATGTTCCTAACGCGTTATCTAAAATAATACAGTGGCACTCCGGAAGTGCCGGCAGAAGTGAAAACAGGGGTGTCGCGAGTACGATTGTTTTTACCTATCTCAAAAATGCCCAACGCGTTTAAAGGAGGTTTCACTTCAAAAAAAATATGTCATCATCCATTTTTTATTGTCGAACAATGATATAAAAGAAGGCAGCCGACAAATTATATTCATTTAAATAAGTCAGTAACCATAAATCTAAATGTTTAACACTTAACTAATATTAACAACTTCTACGTTCGTTTACGTTTCTGGATACGTGAAGTACCAATTGAATATGAACAAGTTTTTATCGAGTTCGAGTTCTGCCGTACTGAGTTGCTTCAGTCTCTTCTCTACTCCTTGCAGCACGGCCTGTTCTGGTGGGGTCAGGGTCTCTTCCACCTGAGGAGATAAGAATAGAATTTGTGAGAGCCGTCGCTAATGGTTATTTATAACGTGATTGGGGAAGCAGATTGGATCTCCGTGAATCTACTCTTATTTGAATAATTCGGATGGATACTGCACGAAAAGCGTAAAAGTTAAAGTAGTCGCCAAGTCTATAACGCGCGTCGAGTGTAGTGGGTTCGATTATCATACAGGACAAAAGGAATGTGTGATCGGAATGAATTCTTCATGAAAACAAATATTAGCTCTGGATAGGTAGGCTATATACTAGATATATTTGTCCAATGGAGTGCATGATGTACTGACGTCATCGATGTTCTCCTGCGGCTCCCCGCGCAGCCGCATGCCGTGCACGATGGTGCGCACGCGCTTCTGTTTGTCGACGAGCCGCGCGTGCAGCGTGCGCTCGTGCAGCGCGCGCCGCGACACGTTGTGCAGCGAGCGGTAACACATCTCCCGCGCCGTGTGCGCCACCTGGTACACGAACACATTTACTTACATACTTCCTCCTTTAGAATGTGTTTTATTGAATTCAAAAAAGATATTAACACAGAATCTCCTATTTTTTATTAGTATATAATAAGATTTACGTACCTCGTGTAATTTTATGTGATATAAGTAGATGGCTTTCGCCATCCCTCCGGCGGTTGCCGCTTTTCGCATTGGCTGCAAATACGATCATGTGTATTAACTATGTCCGTTTACATTTAAAACACAATTTATATGTTCGATAAATTATTTCATTTCAGTAAACAATGCATGAAAAGATCTTCTAATGCTCTAATGCAAGTTAACACGAATGAGCTTTCATTCGTGTTAAGAAAATAGTGACACATCGATCAAGCCCCGCCCGCCTACAAATGAGGTTCCAAGAAATTATCGTTTCGTACGAAAGCTTGGAACCTCATTGGTCAAGTTACTCACTATCACTAGTCACTATTTTCTTAACGCAAATGAATTATGATCGTTTTTATTTCCAAAGATTTACAACAAGAATTAAGCAGTAGAGGATCTTTTTATAGCATTGTTTACTGAAATGGACTAATATGGAAAATGTAGAAATCCTTTTCGTTGAGATACCAAGAAGTTTCTTAGACGACTGTAGCCTTGTCTCAGAGGTTCTCTTAGCAAATTGTAATCTAAAAAAGAAAGTTTACAATAAGAAGAAGGTAATCTCACCTGACAACTGATGAAATGTTCCTCTAACAGTTTATACGTGAGCTGTTTGCACTCTTTGTTCACTAGCATAGCATTCTTCTGTATGTCTTCTTCTTCTATGTACTTCTTAGTACGTATTAATCTGTAAAGGCCACGGCACACTGTAGCTAGTTTTATAGAGATAATTAATTTAACTTTAATTTTGAAGCAAAGTGGGGACTGTCGGTGATAAGAAGCTCTGGCTTAGCAGTCAGTGTCACTAACCACTAGAGCAACTAAAACAAAACTAAATAAAATTCAAGGATATAATTTGGTAGATGCTATGGGGTGTATCTAGTGTTACAAGCACGTAAACAAGGAAAAAACTTTTTTTTCCCGCTTTTTATAATTAATGAATAACTGAAAGTGGTATGTTCGGACTACTACCTGAAGATCCTGGCGGCCTTGGAGCCGAGGCGCTCGGTGACGAGGTGGTCGAGCGCGGCGCGCACGAGCTGCAGCGCGGCGGCGCGCGCGCGCACACAGAACTGTCCGCCCGACGCGTCGCCGCACCGCCGCACGAACCCGCCGCCGCTCTCCTCTGCGCCACACCACACACGACACACCGGGTTAACCCCTTCATTGATCTACTCATAACACTCGCTGGTTGTTGACGGTCTCGTCCTGCCACCGGCGAGTGTGAGGCTACTTTGGCCGTATAGCCGGGAGTCAGCTGGCCGATCTTGACGAACCGGTAGTAGTTAAGAAAGTAGAAGGAACGGGACCTCGAGGTCGGACACCCGGCCGATGGCTGACAGGACTTCCGTTAATTGCCGCGCTCAGAACGGCCGAAGACAGGACAGGGTAGAGACAGCCGGTGGCTAATATCACCGAAACACTTCAAAACGGACACGACCTTCAGCATTGAAGCATACGACGATAATAAACGGAGCAATTTTATTAAGGAAATTCTGTTCATTTAAAAATACACACCTAAAACCTTCAAGTACTGATCGACATACTGCTGCAAGAGGGGCTTGTCGGTAGCGGCGCGGCGACATCGGTCGCGTACGTCCAGCGCGCTCACCGGGTTCGATTCCGGCGCCCAGGCCGGTGAATTCAGGTACATTTGCTCTAGGAGGAAACGCATTAGTTCCCCCGCTGAAAGTTAATTATAAACACGATAGAACGTAGGAGAGTAGTTAAATTTATTTTTAACAGGATTTTTACTTAACTATAATTTTATTATAAGTCTTGGTATATTCCAAATAACCGCGATATGTGGCGTTTAGTTGAAAAACAAAATATAATGATAGTACATACCAATGAAGATCTATTATAATCAAAACCAGTTAAAATGGAACTGGAGTGATGAACTAAAATTCAATAAGATGTAGCGATAATACACATACCATTTTCATCAATCCGTCGTGTGATGGCCTTTATCATTAGTTCATCTCTGAAATCCTGGTGAAATCTGTCGTAGTTCACTTTCCAATAAATATCTATAACAAAAACAACATAAAGAACCTTCAATTTGTCTATTAATGTGTTATAACATGAATAAGAGTTTAACAGTTTGGTCACACTAGCGTGGGGGGCGGGGGGAACTAAAATGTCACCAGCTGTGACAAGGATAGGGCTGGGGGTAAAAAACCATGAAATTGGAGTGACGTAATTTATGGATGGCCCCTTATCTATGTTTAATATGTATGTAAGTATATAAGTATTCTATCAGTCAATCTAGCTTCCATAATTCAAGCTCTGCTTAATATGAACTAGATGGCGTTGTGCGTTAGATGTCCAAAATATTATTATTATTATCTTCAAAGATTTTTATTCAATGCTATGTTACACATATATATTTTTAATTGCATATCAATATAAACTCACTGTCTTTAACATCGTTAAAGTTCCCAGCATTCATAACTTGCAGCAATATCCTAGTGTCCAACTCCGGTACAATGGTAGCCACTGGTACTAGTGTGGGGATCTCACTGCCTTCTTTTAGCTCAGCCACAGGAGCCTGCTGGATGTAGCCTGCTGTAGCCAAACTGATGAACATGTCTTTAAGGCTCATGATTGTTATGTTCTTCTCCTGGAAGTTTATGTAAAGTACAGTTCAACATGATGCAAGCATATTGGAGTAAGTAAAGTACAACAGCACTGCAAAGAGAAGGAAAACTACAAACCCTATACCAACCCGTCTGGCCAGCTGGTATAGTAGGCCAAAACCTCCTTTCTACAGACAGGCCTATGTCCAGCAGAACTATTAAAGGCCGTTGATGATTGATGATGATGAAAGTACAGGGGATAAAACAAAGTTAGCTTTTTAACAGTGTGACCACTGAAATCGTCAGATCACATTTATTTGCAACAAGCAATCAATACCCAATACTTATTGCCATTTCACAATATGTAGTTATAGATAGCCATTTAAAAGCCAACATCCATATCATGTTGAATACACCAGTTCTCGTCCGCTAGTCAATTAAAAATTATGACTGCACGGATGGCGTAGTGGTTGAAGCGGTCGCCACGCCGCTTTCTATTGCGCCGAGTGTTGTGGGTTCAAACCCCACATGGGATAACACTTTGTGTGATCCACAAATTGTTGTTCTGAGTCTGGGTGTACTTTGTGTCCGTTTCATGTATGTTTGTAAAGTCCCCCGTGACACAGGATTTATTCCTAGTGTGGGAGTTGTCTTTTTTAAAAATAAATAAAAAATGTATCATCATGGTCCCTGGTAAGAACAAGAGGAAGCCAATTTTTTTAATAAAAATTCTGTTCTAATCTACTCTCGATCTCACAAATATCATAAAAGGTATTTTTGTAGTAAACTATTCAACATCCAACGTTGACTGTAATGTGATTATATTGAAAATACGTTTAATGGCATTTGTGAGATTGAGAATAGATTGGAACTGAAATTTAAACAAGTTTTGATTAAGAGAATTCACCCTCTGGTGACTAAACAAAACAAAATATACAAATATATAAAATATTGTAATGTCGAAATAATTGTTTTTTTCATGCTTAAATATTTTTTTTCTGTCTGTCGGTCTGTTTGTTCCGGGTAATCTTTAATCTTTCTCTATATAAGGACTAACTTAGGCTATTATTCCTCTCAGAAAAACCTATAAAATTTTGCCCGTCCAGCAAACGAACCCAAGGCCTCATGGACTACAGTTGCATAGTGGACTACACCGCTAAAGCAGCGCTTTTGAAATTCCACGTAGTATATACTACTCGTTTGAGTCTGTTCAAAATTAAAGAAAAAATACTACCCCTAAAGGTAGATTTATTACAATTCATCACAAAAGACGTCCTGCTGGATATAGGCCTCCCCCAAAGTTTGCCACGACAGCAGCTCCTGCGCACCATACGTTATTTTTATTTGTTTGACTTAAATTGTAATGCATACCTTGTCATCTTTATACTTGGTAGCAATAGTGACCAGTAGAACTGTTGCTGTGCAAGTGGCCTGCTGCAGTAATTCCTCTATCAGTAACTCTGCTTCGCTACCATATTTGCTCTTCACTTGCAATAAATATCTGTTTATGAAATAAATTTAATAGATTGTGGCTTTCTACAGTATTAATGTTTTATACAAAAGCAATTTTTTTTTTGATTTAGTAATAGTCTTATGATGAAGCCAGAAATTGGCATATTGTATTCTTTTTGTGACTTATAAATAGGTTTACTAAGCTACAGATAAACAGATATTTTACCTTGGGTATCTGATGAGTAAAAGGACATTTTCCGGCACCAATTTATACTCAGCAATCAATTGGTTAACTGAGGGCTCAAATGCAGCAATGTCATATTTAAGCAATGTGCGAAGACTCTCTATAACCTGAAATAAGTATTAGGTCTAATTTCATTTGATAAGATATTAAGAAATAAGTTATAAGACTGAACGGTTAAATTAAACCTAACCAATATTTACCGAACTATGATATGAAACATATTAGTTTTAAAAGCAACTCACCAGTCCTCGAGAAAGCCCTGTAGTCTTTACTATCATGCCAATCGGTTTACTACCACATTTGAACAGATCATCACCCACTGTTTGTACGATATCACCAAAATATCGGTGAAGAATTATGGACACTACTCTTCCTAGTTGGTGAGACATTTTATTTAGCTTATAAATTAAGCTATGAAACCTCTACCATTAATAATTTATTAGGAATATATATAAATATGCATTATTTCATCACCGATAGCTATCTTTTTAAAACAATAAATAGAAAATTTTAGGTTAGATCAGAGACTAAAGTGGCAATGCCGCAATACATGTACATGTAATTGACATATTGTTTATGTTTACATCTTTCGAAATCGAAACTAAGTGGTTAAATGTTTAACGTTCCGTTCCAAATGTAAACCATTGAAAAAATATTGTAAATGATTAAATATATTAAAAGAATACAGTTAACATTAAATAATATAATAATAACGTAAAAATGACATGTAAAGTACATGTAATTGACATATTGTTTATGTTTACATCTTTTGAAATCGAAACAAAGTGATCATATGTTTTAGGTTCCGTTCCAAATATAGACCATTGAAAAAATATTGTAAATAATTCAATATATTAAAAGAATACAGTTAATATAAAATAATATAATAATACACGTAAAGCGAAGAATTATTTCCTAAATATATTTTTTATTAAATTTTTAAAATGCCCTCACCATAGAGTCGAGGAGTATGGGGTATCCCCTAAGTTTGTGGACCTTTCAGATTTAATTATGTTTCATGATTTTGTATGTGTTAATATTTATTTAATGATTAGATCATGTGTCGGATAGTGTATATATTGCTCTTATTGAGTCACAGTAACTCAGGCTTTGTCTAGTATCTGACGGCTGTGTGTGAAGGAGGTGTAGCAGGTGCTACAGTGAGGTGTCTCAAGTCCGCGTTACATAAAACATAAACACGCAATAGATTTTAATGCAGCTTGCACCTAAAAAAAATAACTATTGCGTTTACAAGAGTAGCTATATTCTGTAGCTTTATTCACTGGTTGATTATTGGTATTTAGAAAATAACTGGTACATACCTCATCGCCGTAATGAATCTCTCTACAATCTTTTATTTTTAAGTTTTTCTGTACCTAATTTTAGTCTCTATAAAGTAGAAAACTTGCCATCAATTTCAAGACATTGACTTTCGTTGTGAGATTTTCTTCGTAAACATCTGTATTAATAACTCAAGTACAGTGGTTGTGTGCGATTTACAATACGTTTGTTTATTTTTAATTAAAGAAATAGAACAATGAACATTGAAAGTGCTGCAGTGAATATTCTCAAGCGTGGAGTTGAATTAGATACTAAGAAACGATACACAGAAGCCTTAGTATGTTACCAAGAGGGCTTACAAATTTTAGTTGACAAAATAAAAGGTATGAATTTGATAAAATAATTATTTTACACCTTAACTTTAGTATTTCAACATTTATCTAACTTTTTACAGGCGAACATGATGATTCTAATAAAACTTATCTACGAAAAAAAATAGAGGAATATATGAACAGAGCAGAAGTTATTAAGAAAATGGTATTGCAACAGAAAGATGCTGGCCAATTTCACGAACAGGTTCACATTGAGAATAACTCTACAGGTCATAGTTATAAGGCATTATTTGGAAGATTCCTAGATGACGATGTTGAATTTGTTGTAGTTGAAGATCCTTATATTCGAAGTTTTCACCAGGTTTGTCAAAAAAATGATTTTTTTCCCTTTCTTTTTTACTGTTATTCAAAGACATTGGTCTGCACAACATTTAAAAAACAAATAAAGTCACTGTTTATATTTTTAATCATACTCATGTCTGAAGATTTGTTAAGACATATTGTAATATTACCTCCAAGTAACAGTTTCCATACCAGATTTGGCTGTGACGTCCAACACGATACCAAAGTGATGCAGTACCAAAAGTCTGTGCTTTTGAAGAGAAATACAGATTAGTCAATAAAATTCATCTGCCTATTTTAAGTGCAATGTTGTTATAAGGGGTCGTTACTCTGTATGTGTGTTACAAGGGGGTTTGCACATGCACAAAGAAAAGTCTGTTAATAGACAATGTTTAAGACATAGTTACTTAATTTCAATTAATTATTGGTTTATAACAGAATTACTTCATCCTAATCTTTTTCTCTCCTTTTCTTTAAATGAGTGCCATTACTACATCATGATTAACTTTTGCTATTTTCATTTCAGTGTCAAAACTTCCTTAGACTATGTGAGCTCTTAGTCCGTTCTTGTACAAATTTAAGACATATAGAACTAGTTACATCTAAAGATAGTAAAACTGAAGATGAGCAGAGAAAGTGTTTCACAAATTTAGCCAATGACTTGTTAAAGTACAGGGTTCAGCTTATTGTCAGGTTCTCAGAAACATTACATGATCGACAGATTACGTAAGTACACTATTGAGTTACTATAAGCTTTACCTAATATCAATAAAACAAAACAACTTATCATCAATAAAAGCAAAATCAGCTTTTATTTAATTAGTTAAACATAATCAAATAATAATATCTTGTGTCATGGTCTTTGTAGCTGCACTCCTCTGAAACGCTTCAACTGAATTCTTTGATTTGACTGATTTCTTTGATAATTTTCATGGTAGGAGAAAGTTTGCCAAGTCAGCTAGTACATTATTTGGTGGTGCAAAATTGGAATGTTTATGTTACATTACCTACATTATTCTTACATATAATTCCCACTACTTAAAAACATAGAGTAAAATGTTGAAACAGTGTGTCATACATGTCAAAGGATCTATGTATTGGAACAGGCAACTAGTTTCACAACTGACCAATACTGTCAACTTGAACGTATCAACAATAGGCTTAATACAAAAAATGTATTTGATTTGATTTTTCCACCTGTGATGTTGCAAGCGTTTCTTTGATACTTAGAGGTTACTATCCGTTACTGACCACTGACTTCCACGGTGGAAGAGCCATGTTTCATAACATATGGACCAGGCTGGACTGGAGTGATACCACGCACAAAAAACTGGTGTTAAGCAGAGGCCCAACACTTGAGCCTCAGTTCCTTCATTGCTTTTCACTTTGTGAGTGAGGTTACCGGAAGCCAAACCCTCCCTCTTTCTCTGGTTTTTTTTTTTTTTTGGGACTAATCCCACCCACACGCCCACCACTGTAACTCCTGTACACCAGGATCCACAGCAGTAACCCACGAACACACCGAGTTATGACACTCGGGAAGTCCCAGCAAGAAATTAAACTGTCTTGGAACCCGCAACGAAATTAATCAGAAGAAAATTGGAGGAGTTGGAAATACAGTAAATCCACTTCCCTCCTTAGCAAAGCGGGAGACAAAATGAAGTAAAATGGGCATACACCCTTTTAAACAGGGAAGCACCACGGCCACAAAATATTACGGGTCCTACGTGAGCTATATTTGATTTCTATAATATGTATGGCAGAATCGCCTAAACGCACGGAAATTCACCCTAGTTGACACAAGATCCCCATAGTATACCGCCCCAGATGTCACCTGCAAGGTATTCAGCATTATATTACGTTCATAATACCAAAGACTACATTCCCAGAGGATATGATGAGCAGACTATTCATAGTGAGTTAGGTGTTGGGCATTGACACAAAAGGTGACTCGACTAATTTAAATGAATAAAGCTTGCTCTTAAAGTTACCATGACCCGTAAGAAATTGAGCGACACAGTGATCCACCTCAAGCCATGTCCTCGACAACCGTTCGCGAACAGATGGAAAGAATTGGTAAAGATGGCGCCCCTTGGATGATTCATCCCAGCGTTGTTGCCATTCATCTATGAGGTCATTATAGACATCGGACTGCTGTTGAAGCAATGTTGTAATTTTACCGCGATCCCGCGCGCCCAAAAAATCGCATTCCATGTTTTGTTGTCTTGAATAGTACATGGCTGCACGTCTCTGCACCTCGAGATCGACCGGAAGCACACCCGCCAACACCGGCAAAGCCTCAGTGCTAACCGTCCTTGGTTTCTCTGGTTCTGTGAACTGTGAACTGAAATGGCGGCAACGCCTTTCTAACTCTCAAGTTGCAGATATCCTTTGGTCCAGATGTCGTCTGCCCCCCGATACTATAAAAAAATCTGACACCGTTTCAGCATGTTTGTGTTAAACAGATTTTATAATTCCTACTTATCTTTTAAATTGTAGGTTAGGTTCCGGATGGATTATAAAAATAGGAAGAGGCCTGGATTTCTTCAAAGCACCGGAGAACAAGTTTTGTCTGGGTGTTTATGATTTAGATCTACGCCCATGTCACGAGACGACAGTGGACATTGTGCACTCGAAGAATGTGAAACAATCTTACGGATGAGATGATACTGTACCAAAGTATAGAAAAAATAAGACTGTTTATATGTACGTAAATCATATTAATGAAGTAAAACATTTTATCCCGTTTTGTATTTTTTATCATTGGGATTAAGGATTTAATGCTAATTAAGGTTTTTAACGCCTTACACTCAAGTCTTCTTCAATGCTGGTCAAGAAACATATAGATCTTTATATTTTATTTTTAATCTAGTGTGACTTTGTTATTTCTTGATTAAAGAGTGACCGTGAAGTGAAGAAATGAAAAGCAGAAACCTCGTGAGAGAATCGTAAAAGATGATAAGGTAGCTGTAGTAAGGGTCTATTCAAGTATTAAGTTTACACCAAAGGGGACCTCCCTTTTGTGTTAACGTAATGTAATGCTGTGTTTATTTTTGATGACATGACGTAGTGAAATGGGGAATTTTGAATACAAATCTTTATATCACTCATTTACCACTTTTCATTACAGAAATAGTGAAGAGTGCAATCGAGACTGCAATCGAACCCATTATTCATATAGCTAATATATCCATAGACCTATAAATTCTTTGATATTGTGTTTTGTCTAGATATAAATAAAACTTGCAGCGGTGTACTGTGGGTACCAATACTTAACATAAGTTAAATATAACTAAAGATACAAATGCCTTAATAGTATTGCCTGGCGGCAGTGAATGTCTTTCCAAAATGTTTGACGGTAAGGTGTAACAAGATGGTAATTTCCCTTATTCCTTGTTTAACCATGAACTTGATATATGACGGGCAAGCCATCTGTCGCATCTCCATAGAGCTTTAAAAGCCAATACACTTAACAACTTAGACGGTTATTTTACAACCTCTGATGACATAATTTGCTAACATAACATTATTTAAAATCTTTAGTACTAGCTGGTGCCCGCGACTTCGTTCGCGTGAAATTTGAGTTTCAAATGTTATTAAGGCCTCGGGTAACGTTCCCGGACCGGGCAAGATTTTATAGAATTTTTCTGAGAGGAAAAATAGCCTAAGTTAGGGGAAAAGGGGGTGATGGAAGTCACTTAAGCAAGAATTAGTATAAAACACAGAAAATATATTTAAACTTTATGAAAATCAACTCTTATGGTAGTTTAATTATTGTACTATCGGCCTTAGATAGTTTCGTTACCTTTGGAGTAACAAATTAATAGCTATTAAAATTGGAAAAAAATATATATCTATGACCACCATTGTTCACATCTGAGGGTAATTATAGTCACTAAGGGGGCAATGAGAGTCAGCCTAGATTAACAATTGTCCCATTCGTAACCTCATGGCAAATCCCACCCTGTAGTTTGCATGTGCTTACAATCCGTAAGACGTGCACCTGTATCACAAATTAAAGTTGCAACAGCCAAAAAATGACGCATCAATTTTTATAGTTTTATATATACCGGGATGGTTGGAGCCAGTGGCGTAGCTACCGAAGGGCTAGGCAGTGCTGTACAGGGGGCCTCGAAGCCTGACCAGCAAACCTCGTATTGAATTAGCTAAAAATTCTCCCACCTTTGGAATGTAAATAAAATAAGTTGTAACTCGACTTTAAGGTAGTACCGTAGTAATTAGTTACCGTTTATTTTTAGCGAACCAGTAAAAAGATATTGAACTTTGTTTTTTTTTTGCATTTTACATTGAGGCTGAGAAATCAGTTTTAATTTCATTTTATGGAACAAGAAGAAAGTACCGTTTAAATTCCATTCAAAATTGAAAAAAATAAAGTAGGGCCCCAGTTTTTTTTGCCTTTAGTTATCTAACTACGCCTCTGGATGGAGCTCCTTGGGGTAGACCTTCGTTCAGCAGTAGACGGCAATAGGCTGAAGAGATATAATACTGAGAACTGGTAAAATATTTAATTTAAGTTTACACAAAACTTATTGACTACTACTATTAACGAGTCATCTAATTTCTTATGTTTTTTAGAGGCCTGTGTCCAACAGTGGACTATTAAGGGCTGTTGATGATGATGATGATGAAGTGGCACACGCTGTTCCAGTGTCCTCATAACTATTAAAAAAACTGATATTGATCAGAGTCAGTCAACGAGACATATTTTCTCCGTGGGCTTGTACATTTTTTCATATTCATTATCACTGATCAACGTGTACTGGTTATCACGGAACTTCAGTAAGTCTTCATACCAGTCTCTGCTAGTGTTTGCGACGAGGGTTGCTAGTATTCGAGGAGGCTGAGGAATGGGAGTATTCTCGAGAAGTCCTTCCAAATAATCTGCCTGAAATATAAAAAAAAAAGTTATACTCTTGGCTGACGAATGTCTAAGTCATAAGTACTTTAATTAGTTTCTTTTAACTTATTGAGTCTTTGCCTTATTATTATCGCTTAACGTCTAAATGTAGGTATGTTATAAACTTACATAAATAGTATTTCCAACAACATTTACATCGGTGAGGGGTTTATCTTTCGCGTGATCGAACCATTGTTGAAACATATCCTCTTGAGATGGCAACTTAATATAACCTGCTGCTAGCGCTGCTGAATACTGACCCTGTTTAAAAAGTGATTAGTCAAGACCAAGAAAAAACATATATAATTTCTAAGTCTATTTTCATTTAGCACCATTGATAAATAATACAATTAAGCAGGCACCTTTAGCCGAAAATAAATTAAATTATGGCAGCACTTAATTTTTTTTTAAATAAGGACCCGCTGACCTGAATATCGCGCACTATGCCAGGAACATATTTTGAAACTCCTACGAAGGTCATGGAAGGGTGATTAATATTCACAACTTGATTGTGCAATGGTAGTACATATTTCTTGGTTGCGGATACTCCGGCTGACTGATAGTTCAAGAACGGAAAGCTGAACGTGTAACCTGTAAATAAACGCATATATTCTCCTCTGACAATCATCTTCAACAGCCTTTAGTAGTCCACTGCTGGACATAGGCCTCTCCTTAGAAAAGAGGTCTTGGGCTACTACTGCTATAAAGCAGAGTGGCCAGACGGGTGGGTACAAGGTTTGTTTCAAGGTTTCCTTCTCTTTACAGTGTTATTGTCCTTTTACTCCCTAAAGTCGGCTCTTACGCACCCCTGGGATGAATACCCCTGGGTGGCGACACTCCGTATTCCTAATCCGTCATCACACGGGCCCTCTGATAATAAAGGTATTAATACAATACAATACTAAGCATATTATAAGGGTAATTTTTGAAATACATAAAGCAGCTATTAATAGGTACTGGTTATAAAGGTCAAAGGTTTCACAGAAGTGAGAGTTTATATACTTAATGAAGGCGCTAAAGTATTTTAGATAATCGCAACCACTTAATAAGTGCAATTTAACTCCATTGTTCTTTTTTATTCTAAGTGGTTCGTCTACTACCGACAGAACACATTTTAAAATTTCAAACATTAGGAGCATAGTTTAACTGTACCTGTACAAAGTATGACGATGTCGAACTCTTCTGTGCTGCCGTCAACAAAAACAGCACCTGTTGTGTTGAAGTGTTTTATATCCGGTTTCATTAGATAATTCCCATAGATCTCCGGCAACTTGTACATAAAATGATGACTATGCAATAACTTAGATGTCACATTGACCAGTTGTATAGCCACGTCGAGCCCTGATGGGCCAGCTCCCACTACAAGTACGGTTAGATTACGAAAATCTTCAGCATCTTTGTAGTCGTGGCTGTGTATTATTTTTCCTGGAAATTCAATTATTTTAGAAATTAGTGGACACGTTGGCCTTAACTAGCAAAAAAGCGCACGATTCAAGTAAGGGATTTATATGCTATATCCCAGCAAGGAGCTCTGATAACACCCAGAAGTATCTCCTTATGGAAGTGATACCTAACGCATTTGAGTACGAAAGATAAACAACTCTCTGTGCCTAGGCTCTGCAGGCGATAAAATATGTTGTCTAAAATTAAAAACTTAGACCTCAGTGTTTTACTTTTAAAATGTAAAGGTTCTTAAAAAAATATTTTGCAGTGATGTATTAATAATATTGTCTCACATCAACAGCCTTTAATAGTCCACTGCTGGACATAAGCGTCTCCTTAGAAAGGAGGTTTTGGCCTACTATACCACGCTGGCCAGACGGGTTGGTATAGGGTTTGTTTCAAGTTTTCCTTCTCTTTGCAGTGCTGTTGTCCTGCTTAGTTTGCTCCCTTAGTCGGCTCTTACGACACCCACGGGATGAATTGGGGTGGTGACATTCTGCATTCTTAATCCGTCACCACGCGGACCAATAATAATATTGTCTACCTATATGTTAATTCGCTATCCATAATAAGGTAAATCTAAATTGTGTTTATGATTTTGATTTATGTGTGATTCTGTATGTAATCTATACTAATATTATAAAGCTAAAGAGTTTGTTTGTTTGTTTGTTTGAACGCGCTAATCTCAGGAACTACCTACTGGTCCGATTTAAAAAAATCTTTCAGTGTTAGATAGCCCATTTATCGAGGAAGGCTATAGGCTATATATCATCACGCTAAGACCAATAGGAGCGGAGCACCAATGAAGAGTGTTTCAAAAACGGAGAAAATTTATTACTATTGAGAGACGCAGACGAAGTTGCGCGGGTCAGCTAGTATGTAATACATAGGTTTAATATAACTTGTTACTACTAGTAATATTTGCATGCTGTGATCTCCTATAATTGAGAGAGTACAGCGAAAGATTATTGTGAAATATTTATTTTAAGTTAAAACTGTGTATAGCCTTTGTTGGAGATCCTTAAATTATATAAATAACTCTTACACCGGTAACAGCTTGAATCAATTACATTTTATATTTATAAATTTCTTAACCATTACATTTCAGCCTATTGCAGTGTCTTAGCGTATGTATTTCTCAGTTACATTAAAGGAACTGCCAGAAATAAGGTTGGCACCACTGAGTATTCGGCATCAATTATATATATTACCTTTAAACTCTTCTTGCCCTTCAAAGTGAGGTACGTTAGGTGAGCTGTACTCCCCGGTCGCTACGACAACAAAGTTACAATGCTCTGTGATATTCTCTCTGGTATCAGTCTTCATATACATGACATTCCAGATGTCGTCTTCCCACTGCACCTTGGTTACCAGACTTTGGAACTGAAATAAATGATATTTTACTGAAATTCATTGAAGTGGAATTCTTGGATTTAATTGTTATGATATACGACAGCGGAATAACCGTTTGTCCCCCAATTTGAGCCACAGTGTCGATAGAGAAGAAGATGGTTTACGCTTTGTTCCAAAAAGTATCTACCTATTTAATTAACTATCCTTAAAGACCATACCTGAATGTTTTCTATCAAATCGAAGTGGTTAGTGAAAGACAGTAGATATTTGTAGACGCAGTCCCCCGTTAGGTATGAAGATGTGCCCTCTGGGAACGGAAATCCGGAGTATTCCATTGTCTGAGTTATTGTATTTGTTCTGAAACAGAAATCCTTTTTGTTTAACATTAGACAGCGAGAAAATTGCGTTAGAGGCATCCGTTCCATCTACATATATCTGTTGAATATAAGATTGGAATATTTTTTGGAAAGTTGAATATAACAGTTAAGATTTACTTCGAGTTCATTTGCCTCATTTGACTAGTTTGACCTGCGGTTTCGTCTAAAGAAGTTAGTTGCATAAAAATATTATCATCCCTATTTTTTAATTACTTATTTACAAACTATCAATTCGTTAATTAAAAATGCTCAATTATAATTTAAATTACTTTGATAGACCTTTTTACTTAGTTCATAACAGATAATTAAAAAAAATGCGTTCTAATTGGTTTTATTGTAACATTGTTATGCGGCTGTATGTTAAGGTTACTTCTCTTATAATTTTTTTTTGTTTTTCTTTTGTGTTTACTTTTTGTCGTTCTTTGTATTTAAATTTACCTCATGTTCTTATACGCGCTTGTAAACAAGGGCAATCCATCTTCATCAGTGCCTACACGAGGGTCAAACCTCCAGGTGCCTCCGATATAGCGGGTAGCCTCAAACACTGTGAAATTGAGACCATAGTCTTGCATATGTCGGGCTGCACCCAGGCCTGAGTAACCAGCACCGATGATACATACACGAGGGTCTGAAACGGGCTGTAAGAGCATAAGTAAGGTTACTCTCTATCTGTGGTAATTCATATCTCTTGTGTTCTCTAGAAGTTCTTGAATGATAATAAAAATAATAAGACTTGATAAAATAATATTTTTTAACAGGTAGGTAGTATCATCAAATTACTGATATTTAAGGTTATAAAGAGTATGTTTTAAACTATTTCTTGGTTCACAAAAAAACATTTTAAATTATTGTGTAAAATACAACGCAATAAATTACATTACAGTATTCTTCACTGTACTGTAAAAAATAAAACTTGAACAATAGTCAAAAATACAAACCGCAATGTTATCATCGGTTGCGATTTCTGAGACACATTTTTATACGAGTGGATGCTATGATGCGACGGGTACTTTTGTTTAATCAGCTATAGTCATTTTGTCATCGCAATATAAACCTATGTACGAGTACTATGTACTGGTATATATATGTCACACTTAATCAGTATTTTATAATATTTGTTCTCAGTTCGCTTGTAATCTTTCTTCACCATGCTGTACCGTGGTTCTACTGAGATGTGAGAGAGTTTTGTTAATATATATGGTTGGATACTATGTTACGATTCCAAGAAATCACAATCTAACCTTGGTATTTTTCTACCTATAGATTGGCAAACAAGTGAGACCAGTTTCAATGCTTTAAGATCTTTCCTGTTTTTATATAACATCAAATTTAAGTACGTAACCTTCAAAGTTATGATGTCTCATTAATTATCAGTGATTGAATTCCTCATTTATTTAAGTTGGAACTAATTTCCTGGAATATATTTATTGCATATTATGTGAGCTCTTAATATGTGGTGCAGAAATTTTTAACCGGAATTAAGCCTAAAAAAATATTACCTTTCAATGTAGAAAGTTAAATTATTCAGAGGGGGCCTCCCTCTGAATAATTTAACTTAAAATCAAATCTGTGACAAATTCATTTTTTAAGTTTCCTCTATCGCATCGTCTTAATGAGTGGATCCAGCTTTTACTCAGGGGAGGGTCATTTCTGTGTAGTCAAGACTCACGAAAAGCTCCAATTTAATTTACCTACTTAGAATCGTACGAACAAGACCCAGATCGGGGCGGTCATACCCTAAAAGATCCCTTCCACTCTGGATCCTCCCTTGACCATCTCATGATCTTATAACATTTAATTTTATAACAATGTTTATACGTCTTCTGTCAGAGACTGTGTGACTGAGACACCTGTTGATCTAGTGGTTAGCAACCCTGGCGCAACCAGAGGCCGTGGATTCGATTCCCACCCAGGACAAGCAATTGAGTGATGAGCAAGATCATTTCTTCTGTGTTCGGATGTAATTACTCTATTAATATGCTTGTATTTAGATATTTTTTTAATATGGTAAGTATTTTAATCAGCAGTCTGGTTACCATAGGACAGGCTCTGCCTAGTCTGCCTAGTTATGTGTATATGTAGAAATTATTATCATAAACATTGATTGTTAGATTGACGTCTTACATACTAGAAAAAAACGTTATTTAGATTGTAATTACCTACATACGAGTAAAATGTAACGTCACAAATTTCATTTCATTTGTTTACTTTTTGAAGATGTAGATTGTTACGTGATTTGATGTTAACATTTGTTTGTTTTTTAATCAGTGAAACATAAAAATAAACAATCACGACTACTATAATTTGGCAATTTTTTTTCAAACAAAAATGCCCATCTACCAGCATTATTTTTCGTTTATTAATTTCAGTTAATAAAGAGACTAAGAAGTTCTACATGTACTTGAAAAGCCTTCGTCATGTGTCGGATATACTTTACAAGTAAGTATTTTTTATCAGCTTTTTTAACGAGTTTCATTGTAAAGATTTTTTGAACGTGCTTTGTTTTTATTGTAAGACTAGCCTTCGGCTTTGTGGAATATTCGACGAGTGTTATTTCTTATGGATGAAGTAATTAAGGTAATTTGTATAGAACGAGTACTAAGACGTAGTGTACTTCATATTGAGGTCACCACTGATTACCTGGTTTTCGTCAATTGGCACAGACTGATGGGGTTAAACATTATCCCTTGACAATACTCTGACATACTACATCACCGCTAGGCTCAATGAGGTGCCAGCTTTGTAGAAAATAATAAGATATTATTTGTATTATAAACTCAATTTTTTAATTATTTCCTATTTTCAAAACATAATATCTAGTGCACATTTCTTTACCACCCTAAGGAAGATTGTCCATAAAGCATTAAATAAATATATTTACCAAAATATTTATTTATTGCCCCCACCATATGAACCGACAACCAACTATGAGTCATTTATTAAAGTTTTTGTAGAGACCCACGTGCGTATGCTGAGCATGAACTTCTCAGGATTAGATTGTGACCATGAACATCATTACCATCTTCTTCCTTCCATCAGGAGATCCAACTGCTCGTTTGCCCCCTCTTCCATAAAACAACCCTTATAATAATTTTATTTGTTGTCGACCCACGTGTAACACTGCAAAGGAGCATGGGAACCACGCCATGATGCGTGAAGTCTTAAATGGGAAACTGGACTGATACTGAGACTGCATTCGTTCGCAGGCTGGTGTCGCGTTTCCTATGTCCATGCTAGGATTGGAGACCACTAGGCCACTAGGACAGGGACATCAACTTGACGTGACGATCATTACATTACGTAACACCTATTTTTAAAATGTACTCATGTAAAATTTACCTTACTAAAGCTTTATTGTCGTGAAAACTTTATAGACTTTTATGTAAACTTAGAACTCTGATGGGCTACTAACTAACTAACTAAACCAGATTTGCAAGATATAAGATGCCTTTCAAGTAACTTACTTCTGTGCTAACATCCACTACTCCAAAGAACACATTTAGTAAACACAAGATCGTCACACACATTCGACTCGCCATTATCTTTTAAACACAATTAATAGATAAATTAATTAGAAGCATGTGCTTATTTGTCGACCAGATGCGGTCGATGTCGTCCAAAGTTTCTATACTAGTGAGCTTATGTTAACACTTGTTGGAGTAGGAACCATTCTACGACCTTAATGTACAAGGCTCGGTGATCGCTTAACAAGCGATTACGTTAACATCTATTGCCTAATGACTAAACTGATTACATAAATGAAGAAAGTTAACGCTAACATATATTTTTAAACCCTTATATTTCCTTACCGCCCTACTTATAGTGAACAAGTTTACTTTTAAGTGCAGTTGGAATAATTTTGAATTAAGTACAATTACAATGTAGAATCATTTTATATTTGAAAAACAATTGCTGGTACTCATAAAATATTTTAAGCCGGTGAGCTGCTGGTAAACCAAATCGATGCAGCCAGGAGCATATATATATATATATATATGTGTGTATATTATAAGATATATTTCGATAGAACAACTAGAAGTAGGTTAAAATTGAACACAAGATCTTCCATACGTAATGAACAAGTATGTAAATAAATTATAGTTAAAAAAACACGCTGTTGTAGCTGGCCGAACTAAAAAGTAGGCAATAATTTTCTATAAGTTAAAAAAGAAAAGTACCTAGTGTTAAGAAACTTAGTTCGATACCGGGCAAAATTTTATAGGGATTATCTGAGATGGAAAATAGGTGGTAGGTATATATATATGGTAGTAAAATATTATCAAAACCTTTCCAGCTGCTTAGACGATTACCTGGAACAAATAGACAGACTGACAAAAAAAACTTGTTTTCAGGCATAGATATCGTGCAAATAACCATGACAAAAAAAATTCGAGCATGAAAAAACCTATTATTTTGACATTACAAACAGACACTTAAATTTTATTTATTTGTATAGATACCTTGAAAAGCAACCCCTTTTTTCGATAAAATGCTTTTTTTTTGAACTTATAGAAAATTATTTTCCACTTTTTAGTCCGGCTAACTACAAAATCGTGTTTTTTAGTTTTTTAAACTATAATTTATTTTCCCTGTTTAGTCATTAATGATGATTATTATCTTATATGTCCAGCAGTGGACTATTAAAGGCGTTGATATGATGTGATTATCTTATTAAGACTAAAAAACCTGTCAGGTACGAGTCGAACTCGTGCGCCGTGGGTTTCGTACTTACCCAGATTTTACGTAGATTTAAGCGAAAATTTGGCAGTTACCAAAATTTATCTTAATTTTCAACTTTTTTTTATTTTTTGGAATTATTCCTTTATTTGTGTTGTAAGATGTTTCTGTTTGCCAAATTTCGTGATTCTAGGTCAACGGGAACTACCATGTAGGTTTTTGGACACAAAACGCGCGAAAATCGAAATTTGCCCATATCTTTTCATCGTGTTGACTCAGGACCTTGATTTTTATACACCTAATAGGGACCATAGACCTCAGAGTCTGGTATAAATTTCAACTTGCTAGGTCTACCCGTTCCTGAGAAAATCGGTAATGACACACGGACAGACGGACAAGAAAGTGATCTTATAAGGGTTCCTTTTTTACCTTTTGAGGTACGGTACCCTAAAAAGTACCAACAGTAACAACATATACTTCAGCACACGGCTTAGTATATGGCAAAATACACTACCGTATTTTTAGGTATGGAAAAAGCTGTTATCCTGAAGGTTATCATCAGAATAATGGGACAAATTATTTAAATTATTGCTTTATCTTCGTTCCTTGATAAGTTTGCAAAGTTTCAATTTAATTCGATGTTTTGAAGTGGTTCAAAATCACGTTCCAAGATTCCGTTACATACATACATAGATAAATATATACATAAAAAGCAAATAACAAGCTAAAACCACCCTATATCACAAAAGCATATTTGTTATGGCACCTAAAATCTATAACAAGCTGCCCAACTAAATTCAAAAAATTTACAGTCATTTAAAAATAAATTAAAAGAATTTTTAATAAATAAAGCCTATTACTCTGTTGACGAATATTTCCATGACAAAATAATGTAATATAGGTATAGTATTATGTAGAATTATTTTAATATTGGCATGCTAATAATAATTTAAAAATTGACATACAGAAAAATTATTATGTAATTACTTGTACTTAATATTTGTAGACTCATAAATTGTCTTTTCTTCTTTCTTTTGTGATGTATTTAAATTGTAATTATTATTTTCTCGATTTATTATTTGTACACCACGTAATGTGGTAGGATGTAGTGGAATTTTAACATAACATTTAAGATCTGTAACTAACCTATATTCCACAAATAAAGTATTATGAATGAAAGCCGTGTTAAAGAGGAAAGAAAACAACCACCTTTTTTCCTTAAAAAATATAATTTATTAATGTTATTAATTACGAGTATGTTTTGTCACATTTCTGGGTGTCTGGTGTCTGAAGAAATACACAGACAGACAGGCCTGTCACTAAATAAAGTTTAGGCACGTAAACTGTATTCCAACTCATAAATGATAGCTGTACATTATTTTTGTAATTAAATAAATTATCTCAAGCTAACTTCAAAACTTTCAGCTTTAATGAGTTTAGTCACTCTGTCAGCCAGTGATCTCGGCCAGTGCCACCTGTGGTCAAAACGTCACGCAATACAAGAGTATTGATGTAATACCTATTACGTGGTCTCGTTAATTTCCATTCGTATACCAACTTAATAAGTTTTCACACGTTTTTCAAGTCAAATCGATAGGTAAAGTATCTATTAAGACATAATTTATTTATTTACTTTAATAATCACAATCACAATCTTGACACTGTCAGACGCAATAGATTATTATGTCTCAACAAAAGTAATATATTTGTTTAAATCAAGCCAAAGAATTGATGTCAAGTTCTTTACATATTTGATTTAAATAAATTCTAATTAGTTAGAATGACCATTACCCATAGGTACGCCTATAATAAGTTTGTTGTGTGTTGTGTGCAAAACGTGGAAAATATATATTTTCATACCTACCGTCTTTTAATAAAAAAAAAACAAACAAACGGAGGACAATACAGCTTTGTTTTATTTTAATATGAGCTCTAAGTCTAAATTTTTAAAAGAAAGGAAGCACTTTGACAATTGTTTATCACTGCTAGAAATACTCGTAGAACACAATTTTAATATGAAATACACTGTAATGTTGACTTTGTATAAAATCAATAAATTTGGTACATATTTTCGTATAAAATGTGGAAATTGTTTATCATATTATACACGATTTATAAATCAAATGGACAAATTTTCTTCTGTGGTTTGACAATCATTTCATATTCCGTATCACTTAATAAGTTTATTTGATAATTTCGAAATGTTAGAAACTCCGTGTACCAGAGATCTATGTGGTTTCGCAGAATGGTTGTAAACACTAGTGGAACGCGAGGAATATCTGTTCCGTTGAGTAGAGTATCCATATAATTCGCCTGTAATTAAAAATGTTCATGTACATATAATGGTATAATTTTAATGGTATAAGGAACGCCGTCTTAGGCCATGCCGGGGCCCCAAATTATTATGTACCTAGCATAATAATTTGGGGCCGTGTTTGACAGTAAAACAAAATGACTGAATAAATATTTTTAGCTATCTATTTTGTTGTCCAATCATATCGATCCAAAATAGAAAACAAAATTGTATAGTGTAAGCGAAAATATCCCTCTATGTATTCTTCTATGTATGTTATGATAAAGACGGTACTGGGTACAAGGAGCAAAGAAGCGGCCGATCACCGAGCAACTACCGCCGCCGTGGACTCCTTCAACTTAAATCAGAGTCAGAAATTCGTTGCCGGCCTTTGAGTGCGACGTCATAATTTAACGAGGGGAGTGTCGGTCCGGCTTCCGGTAACCGTACTAAAGAATTACATAACACCGGTTTGCTACGAGGTCATGTTTTCACTCCGGTCGCGCCAAAGTATGAGTCTCCCGCGGTTGCTATTTGAAAGATATATACAATAAATATTTATATGAATTAATTAATATTTATTTAGTTTTGTTTTTGTTTTTAAAAAAGACAACTCCCGCATTAGGAATATATCCTGTGTCGCGGGGGACACAAAGAACACCCAGACTCAGAACAACAATTTGTGGATCGCACAAAGTGTCGTCCTATGTTGGGATCGGACCCACAACACATAGCGTAGTAGTAAGCGGCGTGGCGACCGCTTAAACCACTACATCATCCGTGCAGTCAGGACCAGCAACTGGCATCAAAAGTAATTCACGTAATAATGGCTATAATAGTCCCTAAACACATCATCTGCAGAGCTGCATAGTTTCAGAGACCTGACTTATAAATAAGTAAAAATATGAACCTTACTAATGTCAGCCCTGTGTTAAATTAGATGCCCATAGAGTAAATACGACCATATTTGTGTTCTTCACTTTAAAATGTGAATCATTAATATGTCTTATTCCTTAGTTTAACTGCCTAGCTTACATTTTTAAGTGTGTAAAAATACTAAAAACTATTCATTACTAGCGTTTTCCCGCGGCTCCGCCCGCGTGTATGTCGGTTATCGCAGTAAAACGTAGTCACGTAGTACAGCACTCTGGGATAATATACTTTTCTAACAGTGAAAGAATATTCAAAATCGTATCAGTAGACTGCACGGATGGCGTAGTGGTTTAAGTATACGCCACGCCACTTCCTACTACGCTGAGTGTTGTGGGTTCGATCCTCACATGGGATGACACTTTGGGTGATCCACAAATTGTCGTTGTGTCCGCTTCATGTGTGTTTGTAAGGTCCCCCGCGATACAGGATATATTCCTAGTGCAGGAGTTGTCTTAAAAAAAATAATAGTACCCCGAAATTAGCCCGAACAAAGAAACTCAAAACTTTACCTCTTTATAATAGTAGACTATTAATATTGATAAACATCGCCGATGTTTACACTATGTAAATAACTGCACTTATATAATACTGTTATGGTCATATAACAGATTTATAAATGTTTTTAGTCATTCTTATTGATCCTCTCAATCATTGAATGTATACAAGTTACATAATAAGCTGTTCGGACCGACGAAATATTGTTTTGACTGGCCCGTTGGCTTAGTGATTAACGATATTGATTCGATGCTACTTGCTTGACCGATTGATCTTGAAGTTAAGGGGCATGAATTCGATATCAAGCCAGGAGAAATAATGATGTGATGAGCATCATGTCCGTGTGGTGACAGATTAAGAATACATAGTGTCACCACCCCTATTCATCCTGTGTGTGTCGTAAGAGCCGACTAAGGGAGCAAACTACGCAGGACAATAGCACTGCAAAGAGAAGGAAAAGTTGAGACATATCCAGCAGTGGACTAGCAAAGGCTGTTGATGTGATGTGTGCTGTGAGCACGATCATTTGTTCTGTCTTTGGTTGTAATTTAACTTTAATGTGTACGTATTTAGAACTATATAAGTATGCTTATCAGCAGTCTGGTTACCATAACATTCTCCGTCTAGTTATGTGTAGTATGAGATGTCTCAAGTAAATTTGTTTTTTATTATTGCTTAAATCTCGACAAATCTGAAAATAGCAGTGTATGTAAAACCAGCTTTTGGAAAAAAATACCGATATTAAAGAAAACTCACCGTATTTTCGTACCCAATAAGATTAATTTCTTTGGGTGTCTGGCGTTTTGCGTGATCGAACCACTGCTGAAACATCTCATCTTTAGACGGTAGCTTAACCAGCCCTGCCGCTAATTGTGCTGAGTAGTGACCCTGTGAAACAAACAATAGACAAAAATCTGCCGATTCATGATATAATTAGAAACGATTAGATTTAAAATACGAGTCTATAATAGTATTTTACGACTGATTCTCGAAAGGAGAAAATAGTCGAATGTCGAATAAGGCTTGTAATGGCTTTGTTTTTTTGACGGTTTAACTTTGACATATACAATCGAATCGCCATGCTCTCATAGAAGCAGCACCAGCAGATTTCAAGATAATAATGGAAAGGAAGCATCTATTAATTACGTAAACTTAACTAGTAAGGCTGGGTCCATAGCAACAACTGAAATAATTATTGGATGCTTTACTTATATAATAATAAATTTTACTACTACTTCTACTACACGGACATAAGTCCGTGTAGTGATGGATTAGGAATACAGTGTCACCACCCCTATTCATTCCATGAGTGTCATAAGATCCGGAGGAGGAGCAAACTACGCAGGATAACATCACTACAAAGAGAAGGAAAACTTGAAACAAACCCTATACTAACCCGCCTGGCCAACGTGATATAGTAGGTCAAAACCATCTTTCTAAGGAGAAGCCTATGTCCAGCAGTGGACTACTAAAGGCTGTTGATGTGTGATGAATTTTATTAAAAGATACAGTACACAACACGAGAGTTGTGTATTTGCGATTTGTAGATCTTTTACAATGTGACACAGGTACTGACCTGCCTATCTCGAACTAGCCCAATAGAATATTTCCCAGTTCCCACAAATGTCATTGTGGGGTGATTAATGTTTATAAGTTGATTGTACAGTGGCAATATATATTTCGCTGACGACGTCACTCCAGAAGACTGATAGTTGAGGAAGGGGAAGCTGTAACTATAACCTGCAAAAGACAAAAATGTCTGCAGAAGTTAGGGTAGAACAGATGTTGTTAAAGTGGTGAAGAATTATCCCTGTCGTTACCTAGTACTACGATTTCAGTTTAACCCACTTTAATAAAAGTAAAAGGTGTTCAGTTCGGTTATATTTTAATGTGTGTTACCTCCGTACTCCATCATAAGTGAACCGATTTGGAATAGTGTACAATTCCATTCATTAATAGTTAGTTGATTTGGACCATCCTAAATAAACAAAATAATCTTACAAAAGTTGTTAAAGAAAACGTGCAAATCGAAAATTAAGGCATGAAGTTGAAGAAGTGACGAAGAAGTCGGTGATACTTTTTGTAAGTTCTTTTGTTCTCTCTTTTGTAAAATCTCTAGCTCAGTCAGGAACAAAATTAGCAAATGGTAGTACAATTCTAATAAGCTGTCACAGATGATATTGTACATGTACCTACAGCTTGTGGTCTAAACCCTGCCTACTATTTTTTTGAAATTAAAATAAAAATTCATCGTTCTTCTCAAGGTTTGTTTCATTAAAAAAAGATTGAATGAACTCGGTTCCAATTCCGAAGCTATTGCATAACATAGATAAAACAAAAATATACAGTGAAATTAAGAACCTCCTCCTTTTAATTTGAATTGAATTTAAATCCTTTATAAATAATACCGTCCGTGTGGTCACGGATTAAGAATACGGAGTGGATGTCGTAAAAGCTGACTAAGGGAGCAAACTACGCAGGACAACCGCACTGCAAAGAGAAGGAAAACTTGACACAAACTTTATACCAGACCCGTCTGGCCAGCGCACAGCCTGGTATAGTAGGCCAAAACCTCCTTTCTAAAGAGAGACCTATATCCAGTAGTGAACTAGTAAAGGTTGTTGATGATGATGATCAAGAATTCAACCATTGAATTAATATTTACACAATTACTCCTATGCCTTTGGAAGGAGATGTTTACCAAAACCAAATATAATAGTACTAACACATTTGACATACATTTGCAGTATTAGAATATCACTACCACATACTTTACCTGTGCAAAGTATAGCAACATCGAACTCTTCAGTGCTATCATCCACAAATACAGCCCCCGTTGGTGTGAAGTACTTTATGTCTGGTTTCCTTTTATAGTTGCCGTAAACCTTCTGAATGTTAGCATCTAAATGATGACTATGTATGAACATAGAGGTCACGTTGATGAGGTGTGCAGCAAGGTCAAACGCAGAAGGGCCGGCTCCTACCACCAGTACTCGTAAACCCCGGTAGTCTTCGGAATCTCTGTAATCGTGACTGTGTAGCATCTTTCCTGGGAAATAATTATAAGCATATTATTTGACTGCCTCGGTGGTGCTGTGGTAGCGTATGCGACTGCTGTGCTGAGAACTCGGGTTCGATTCCCGGGTCGAACCAAATGTTTATATGATCTGCAAATACTTGTTACGGAGTTTGGGTGTTTTATTATATGTATGTATTTGCAAAAAAAAAAGTATATAGGTATTTTACCGCGCAATCAAGTACAAGCTTTGTTTGAAATTAGATGGCGTTGTGTGTTAGATATCCGAAAATATTATTTTATATTATTATTATTACTGTAACTCTCTTTTAAAAAAGGGCATTAGAAACGATGGTGAATTATTTCTGGTATTCTTGTTAGCCCTGCCAACTAATCTAAGAGCTTGAATTGATTAAAGGCCACATTTTGCCGATTAGAATTTTCATCCGACTTGTGTAATATATGGTACTAAGACTACTGCTGTCAACGTTCAATTTACATTTTATTATTATTAAGACATTGTAATTTTCTGAACCTTTAAAGTCTTCTTGTTTTGCGAAGTAAGGTACATGGGGCGTGATGTACTCCCCGTTTGCAACGACAACAAAGCCACATTCCTCTGACACGTTCTGCTTCATATCAGTCTTCATATAAGTCACGTTCCAATTGTCACCCACCTTCTCCACACTGGTTACCAGGCTTCGGAACTAAAAAAATCATTTTTGAACTAAATAGTTTCATTATTTTCTTTCACGCCTTTCTACTTCGGGATAGGTGGAGTGGAGACCACAGCTCACCGCTTGCTTCTATCCTTACGTTCCTCACGGGCGTTCCTTACTGTCATTAAAGATCAACACCACAAATAGTAATCCTAATGATGAAGTACAAATAATCAAGGTTAAAATGGTATATGTAAATTTATACAGACTTTATTATACTTTAGAAACAGAAAACTAAGTACACAAATTTTAGTTTATATAATAGAATATATAACAAAATGCATATATATAAAAAAAGCATTTATTCGTCATTAAACTAATTCATCGTGAGCCAGTGGTGACATTTAATTTAAATTGGTCTCAAATATACGGAACATAAATGTTATGTCATTACCTCTCATTGTGGCTATTTGTATATCAATCAGCTGAAGGATAACTTTTGTGAACAGACTTTTTTTTGTTTTTAATAGACAACTCCCACATTAGGAATATATCCTGTGTCGCGGGGACTTTACAAACATACATGAAATGGACACAAAGAACACCCAGACTCAGAACAACAATTTGTGGATCACACAAAGTGTCGTCCCATGTGGGGTTCCTCGGCGTAGTAGGACCGCTTAAAACACTACGCATCCGTGCACTTAAGAAAAACAAAGTGCCTCTGGTGAATATATGGATATCTTGTCAACGAATTATCTGCTTCAACACCGCCTCTAACTTTAGAGTAAGTAATTAACTCTTTCATATATAAGTATCACCGAATGCGTCGTAATAAATTTTAATCAACTATATTCTTCATTCCTTAATATTCCAGCTTCAGGGTTAGTGTTTTTCTGGAAATTTGACTGAGATCAAACGAGAAGCAAATGTTAAAAGTTCAAATCGGTGCATCAATGTCAGAGTTCTGAGGTGACAAACATACTGTAATTATTATTTTTTAATTATTCGTTGACACACGTGGGAAATTTACATATAAGAAACAGAACTTAGTCATTTACTCTTTGCGTCTGGGCCTCAATTCTGCTATTTGATTTTCACGCCAAACCACTGTCATACCACTAAGACGCTATTGAGATGCCATCGAGTGGCCATTGGCATCGGTATAAATATCGGTAGTCTACACTAACTCAGTCTTTACAGTGGTAATGGAATGGCAATAGCAGAATTGAGGCCCTGTTCGCAATGAACGAGACATCACGGAGTGCATAAAATACGGGTGTATGTGCTTACTTGAATGTATTTTTTCAAATTGAATTGCTTAGTATAACCTTCCAAATACTTGTAAATACAGGGCCCAGAAAGAAATGAAGATACAGGACCTGCAGGGATCGGGTAGTCGGGCAATTCCATCGACGGATAGAAAGAGTTAGTTCTGAAACAGAAATGAAACAACACATTAGACTAATACTTGGCATACAAATCTTCGGGAACTGCTCACTTAGTGTAATGCAACGTAAGAATTAGTTAACACTGGATTTATTTGAGATCGTGGTATAATTCCTGTTGAGCTGGCTATTAAGTGCCGAAGCATGACTATCCCACTGTTAAACTCGGTATTACTAGCTAAATCTATTCCCTCTTTTTTATAAAAAAAAGGCAACTCCAGCACTACGAAACGCACAGAGGACTTTACAGACATTTATAAAACGGAAACAAAGAACACCGAGACTCAGAACAACAATTTGTGGATCACAAGGTCTGTTGTCCCATGTGGGGATTGTACCCACAACACTCAGCGCAATAGAAAGCGGCGATGTGACGGTTTAAACCACTACGCCATCCGTGCAGTCTCTTTCTAGCTTATTAACTAGCTAGCTAGCTAGCTATATTCTTAACTAGCTGACCCGCGCAACTTCGTCTGCGTCTCTCAATAGTAATAAATTTTCTCCGTTTTTGAAACATTCTTCATTGGTGCTCCGCTCCTATTGGTCTTAGCGTGATGATATATAGCCTATAGCCTTCCTCGATAAATGACCTATCTAACACTGAAAGAATTTTTCAAATCGGACCAGTAGTTCCTGAGATTGGCGCGTTCAAACAAACAAACAAACAAACAATCTCTTCAGCTTTATAATATTAGTATAGATGTTGGAAATGTGACACACAACGTCATTTAGTTTCAAACTAAGCAGAGCTTGTACTATGAAAACTAAATTGGCTGAGAGAATACTTATTTAGTTTTTTTTTGTAAATACATGCATATTATATTTAGAAAATACCCGAACTCCGAAACAAATATTTTGCAGCTCATACAAACATTTGGTCCGACCCGGGCATTGAACCCGATATCTCACCAAAGCCCTCGCATACGCTACCACTATACACCGAGGCAGTATTCTGTCCCTGTTGTTTACAACAAATAGCTTACCTCAAGTCCTTATACGCGCTCGTGAACAAGGGTGCTCCATACTCATCAGTGCCTACACGAGGAGTGTATCTCCAAGTGCCTCCGATGTAGTTGGAGGCCTCAAATACAGTTAAGTTGAGGCCATAGTCGATCATGTGACGGGCCGTAGCCAGGCCCGAGTAGCCGGCACCGATGATGCAAACACGGGGTCTTGAGGCCAACTGGGAGAACACAAACAATTATCAGATATTACAGAAACAAAGATGGAAAGTTGAATCTTATTTCTTGAATTTCTTCAACCACGCCATGATGACTTATTGGGTTTGTAGCGTGCTTAATATCCTTTCTCTAATTCACTCTTTTCTCCACTAAAGAGTTCGGTCACATCGCCCGGCGCTGTCATTGCTGTAGTACTGGTACTCATTTGCGTAGTACTTGGCAAACTGTGACAGAGGGTCATGGTTGATGTCTTTTCATATCGAAGTATTGTTATTGTATTTAATAATTATTTGTTCGTAGGTATATCTTCTTTATTCTAACGCATACCGATGTTGAATTATTTAAAATCAAACACGGATTTTTTTTTTAAATAATAAAGTATAAATATTTATGTGCTCATTTTGTGAACAGAGTAAAGAGGTGTGAATGTATATAAACGTGTATTTTATTTTTGTAACATCGTTTAGGTATCTATATATGTCAATAACGTTAACAGGGTAACTGGGAAGCGATAGGCAAGGTCGCCCTCAAAACGATAATGTTTATTATTATGCAATCAGTCGGGTATTCATTTCAAAATGTACTAGATTTCAATAAGCCTCAATCATGACTATAAATGTGATTTCATGATAAACTGTATCCTTCATTAATTGATTTTTCAAACTTAGGGTAGCTAATATTTTTCCTTCAAATTAGAATGGGATAAAACGGGAAGAATCACCTTCTAAATACTTATGTTAACTATATCTTATTACAAACACAACATTGTTTATATTTCAAATGAGATAAACAGACAGATGACATTAGCTTTTCGGACACTGACATTGTTTATTAATTCATTAATAATTAGTTTTGATAGTACAAATATTGTGTGTTATTATTATAATGAGTAGTTTCTCTTCTATTGTAACTAACAAGATGTTTTTGGTTGTTCTAATTGTTCTATTTTGATCTAATCACCCGATAGTGCAAGGTGCAAGGTTTAGGGTCTTTGAGGTTGGAGTACGCGTACATTGTAAAGATGCGGCCGGTGTAAGTGCGAATAATTCCTCGGAGCACTCCCCATGATATGAACGATAGAGAATCCAGAATGCAGCTACAAGGTCAGGGGGTCAGAACTAAAATTTTCTGGCAATCGGCGATTTAATGTGCTCATCGAATTCAATATGCCGACGAACTTACGTTTTATTAGGTTCTAAGCAGATGGTGGGAGTGTAATACCGATTCAGTTCGTTCAGCACATCAAATATCATGGAGGTTATTTTGTCGTTATCGTCTAAGTGACCGAGAAACAGGACTTTGCACGATAAATCTACTCAGAGGATGCCGATGCTGGTGGTGGTAGTTAGGGAAGTAATCTCATAGCGAGATGATAGGACAAACGGCATATATTTGGGGGTGAAAGCGAATATCACTCAAAGGTCGGCAATTGGCGGCGGTTGTTACTTACCATCAGATGACACGTCTGATTGTTTGTTCCCTATTTCATAAAAAGGAACCTGTGTCCTTAGTAAGAAGGACAGGATCTACAATTTTATCTTAAGTAATTACGTAATAAAGTAATAACGATGTAAAATGTTACTTTACATCTTTAATCTCTTTCCACAACGATCTTTAACTATTTCTAAGTCAATAACTCACTTGTTTCACTTTGGAAAACTATCTGATATTTTATTATTATTAAATTTATAATAATCTATATTCAACATCATTATAATGAATGTCCTTACAGAAATCGAACCTTTCCTAAATCGATTTTGGGTCGGCGCAGTGTCTAATGTTGAAAAGGGTTGGCGTGTGTCTTTGGTCCATAAGTTTATGAGTTTAAATTAAGTGTAACAATCCTTTTTGCAATACTGCCAACACTATTACGTTAACACACACAGAATAAAATACAATTCAGCATAATTAAGAATCGAAAACAGGTATTTTTTAACTAATAAAAACAAATCTACTTACTTGTTGTACCATATAGCCTCCTGGCAAATAATTTAATAAACATAGAAAAATTACACACGTCCGATGCCCCATTGCAAATTAATCAACAGTTACACGTTAAAACTAAATTGTGAATGTTATACAGATGTAGGCGATCGGCAAAGCGTTGTGATCAGTACTGAACTGAGTGACGTCGCCCAGCGCTTGTCTCCAGTATCAACTTTAATATAAGTACTTAAATGATAACCCCACGGAAAGGGGTTAAGGGAAAATCGGCCATATTTTAATTGTATGTTGTGAAGTGTATTTTTACAACTAAATTTTTATTGGAGAAAACGTTAGGAGTCAATTTGCGCATAAGTGCTTACGGTACTGCTACTCTTGATTGTGGTTGCAGGTTCGCACCGCAAGCAGTATTGATGTGTATTGTGTGTGTAAAAAGTAGCCTTATAGCCTATGTTACTCGCTTATAATGTAGCTGTATCTTGGTTAAAGATTTTTAAAAATCAGTTTAGTGGTTTAAGCGTTAAACTGTAACAATCAAACAAACAAACTCACTTTAACAGTTATAATATAGGTTTTTTTGTAAATTCTGGACTTCGTCAGTTATGAGTCATGGGCATTTTGTCGTCAATACGGATTACCGTAAAAATAAAAGGACCAGACTAACAGAATCTATTCTGTTTTTATGTCTGGTTCATTTATTTTACAGCAACTTTAAAAGACGCGGCTTCGATTAATGGCCGGTAAGTGCAAATCTGACGTAGTTTATTTGGATAGGAAAAAGTACAACCCAACCGAGTAAAAGTTTAAACAAATAAACTAACTCACTATAATAATAAGTCAGAATTGATAAAGATTTTAATAGTCGACAACATTTTCATAGCCAGTTATAACAAATTTTAGAGTGGTCTGGACTGGAAACAACAACCTACTTAGTGAGTCATTTGTTGAATTTCTAATGCAATTCTCAGGGTTAGATAGTGACGATGAACATGATCTCACCGCCTTCCTACCCTCTTTGTAGTTTCATTTGGGGTTGTCCCACAGGTAATATTGAGAAGGAATTTAGCTGATTTCTTTTACGGGTAAGGAATACGGGTAATAGAGAGGTATGAAGAGGAAATTCTCAAATAAGAAATGAGACTGCGTTAGCTTAAAGGTCGGGGTTGCTTCCCCTATGTCCGTGATGGGATTTGAGACGTCACCAGCAGTACTATTTTCTAACAAACGAACTTAGTTTGAAGTTCGACGCTGTGGCAGCGCTGTTCGCAAGGCTGTTTCCTTAGCACTGCAGGTCGGGGACATCAAGTAGACTATAGTGATGACGAAGGTATGGGTATTAACTTAAAGATGCCAATATAACAATGTACTTACTGTGTTAAGGATAATATTTACCTAATTCCATCTGTACTGGTGCGATCATCAGGTTAGCTTCAAGATCCCTAGGTATAGTATTATTACTGCACTATTTTTTGACGTAAACTTCTAGGTATTAAGAGAAAAGAAAACAAAGACTTTTTTCTTAAAAAATATAATTTAATAAGTCATACCTATGAAATTAATCTGTGAAAATTAATTAAGCCTGTATTGTATATATTATATTATGTATTGTATGTATTGTATATATTATAAATTATTTTTCACACATTTTTCAAGTCACATTAGTAAGTATCTATTGAGACATTATTTATTTCTTTATAATTTTAAAACATAATCTTAATCTTAATATTGTTATACGAAATTCATTTTGTCACAAATAAAAGTTCATGTCAAGCCAAAGAATTGATGACAATTTCATTTCATATTTGATTTAAATTAATTAACATTACTTTATCACGCAGTAGCAAAATGTCATAAAGGCTATTCTTGTTCTGTGGACTCCACCATATAATATTATTTGATAAAAATCAATAAACCATAGGTAGGTACGCCTTAGTTTTATGTGATGTTGTGAAGATGTAGTTTATATACTTTTACTAAACAAAAACAAAAATCAATATTGATATTGCCTATAGAATCTAAATTTTTTAAGCGTAGTCGCAGAATTGTTATGAAATGTAATGTTGACTTAGTATCCATCCAAGCAATTAGGTAGAAATTCTGCCATTGTCATAGTATTATATTCTATTCTATGACACATTTAGACACGCGTTTTAAATATCAAATGGACAAAGTTTCTTCTCTCCGTTGGCAATCACTTCATAATCAGTATCATTTAATAAGTTTATCTGATGATTGCGAAATATTAAAAACTCCGAATACCAGGCATCATCCTGCTTTCGTAGGATGTTTGTAAACACTAGCGGAATGCGGGGAATATCTGTTCCGTCGAGTAGAGGGTCCGTATAATCGGCCTGTAATTAAAAATATCTGAATTAATAAGGTTGCTAATGCTTTTTAGGACTAGTGGCTAGCATTAAAAGTATTTTACACACGTTCACTAATGGCTTTAATATATATTTTGGACTAGGATGGCAAAAGAGAAAACGGATCACTAGGAGTTCATGGGCGCCGGTTGACTACCGGCTACTACTTCTGTTACTAAAAATGTGTTCCACACAATGGTTGTGCGAACAGCTGTTCCCGGATCCCTCCTATTACAGGCGCAGAGTGGCACACCGTGTGGTTTTAGTCGGTCCGAGTCCGACACACCACCCCGCCGCAAACCCCGGTGGGGTGACGGTCCGAGGGGATTTCCACACGTTAAAAAAAAAAAAGGCAAAAACTATGTGGGAAAAGTACGTGGGTTGTATTCTCAATCAAACAAATAATTTTGTGATAGGAACGAACATTTGTTATGTGCCTGGGTGTAATTTATTTATAATCGGTTAGGTCGCTTTTTTAGCAGTCTAGTTACTGGCTCCGTCTCATTAGGGATGCGACAGCCATGTGTGAGATGTGTCAAATTATTATTACTTTTGTTGATATCTTGAAAGATTTTATGTAATGTGTGCAACTAGCCCTACCTGCTGCCAATGCTGTTAGAAGTATGGTTATGGCATGTCATCGGACAAGCGTGATAGCCAACAAAGTTTTAATCCTGTCCACCGAAACCGATTGGAAACCAGTGTTGGAAACCGATTCAGCAATTCTTTTGTTGCATTTCACCGAGTGAGTGAGGTTGCCAGAGGCCAAATCCGGGTTTAGGCTTCTCTTGATTCTGGGGGGGGGGACCAAATGGCGGCAAGCCTCTTTTGACTCTTGCCGTGTAGATGTCCATGGGCAGCGGTATTAATTTACCGTCAGGCGACCCGTCTGCCCCCGTTACCATTAAACAAAAACCATTCATGTCAACCCACTTTTAAGTCTCTTTGCAGTGCTGTTGTCTTGCGCAGTTTGCTCCCTTAGTCGACTTTTACGACACCCACGGGATGGACAGGGGTGGTGACACTCCGTATTCTTAATCTATCACCACACGGATTAGATTAACACATTCAATATTGTTTAAACAGAACAGGAGCACAAGCCGTATATAACATATCCATCCGATCTCAGAGAACTCCATGCATTTTTTAATTACCGCTAAAAAGCACAGATGTTGAAGTACACTCACCGTCTGGTCGTACCCAATTAAATTAATTTCTTTGGACGTCCGGCGTTTTGCGTGATCGAACCACTGATTGAACATCTCATCTTTAGACGGTAACTTAACCAGTCCTGCCGCTAATTGTGCTGAGTAGTGACCCTTTGAAACATACAACAGATTAAAACAGCAGCAAAAATCTTCCGATTCCTGATGTAATTTTATAAATGACTAGCTGGTGCCCGCGACTAGTTCGCGTTGAATTTGAAAAGCGCTGCCTTAGTGGGTTCGATGCCCGGACCGGGCATAGTTTTATAGCCTAAGTTACTCCTTATATAAACATCCGCCTAGTAGTAAAATATTAGGAAAATCGGGACAGCCGTTTGAAGATTACCGGGAACAAAGACACAGACAGACAAAAAATATTTAAATTGGTTTTTAGGCATAGGTATCGAGCGTGTAAATATGTAAAATTACGAGTATGTGTATGTGTGATTTTCTATAAAGTATATATTGCTAAATTTCTGTTTTAAAATTTACTGTAACCAAAATGCATCTACTTCCTGTTTTCTCTTCATCAACCAAATGTTGACTGTTAGAGAATGCCTTAGGCATTAAATCAGCCTATGCACCAAATATGCGTGATGTATCAATAAAGAGATAGAAAAAAAACAGCGTGAGGGGTCTATGGACCCCCGGTCGGACCGAAGATTTTTGTAATGTTACTAGAGACCCCAATTCCCCCCCCCCCACCTCCCCTCCAAATCGAGAGGGTGAGAACCCATTTAGGGCGGTACCAGAGAATTTCCAGATAGAAGAAAAGGTGAGCATTGCCTTAGAAGACGGGCCTGTTGGTCTAGTGGTTAGTGACCCTCACTGCTAAGCCGGAGGTCGGGGGTAAGTCCCACCCAGGACAAATATTTGTGTGATGAGCACGATTATTTGTTCTGTATCTGGGTGGAATTTATCTATAATGTGTATGTATTTAGAAATACATAAATATAGTTTGGGATCATGTGTGAGGTTATTATTATTATTAAATAACGTAAGCTCGGGCAATGGTGAGCGCAATAAAATCTCATCACATCACATTTTAATTGATCGTCCATTGTAAAAACTGAAGTAATTAGTTAATGCTCCTACTGTAGTTAATATTTATTCAACAAAGTTCCTTATTGCGATTTACACGCTCTGAGCGGATGGACACTTTCAGTTAGCGCGTCGACACACATCTTTTTCATATTAATAGCTAAAGGAACTTTTTTCCGACCGGGGACCCATAGACCCCTCACGCCGTTTTTTTTTATTAAAAGATACGGTGCACAACATGTGAGCAGTTATTGCGGTTGACTGACCTGTCTATCCCGAACTAATCCAAGAGCATATTTTGCAGTTCCCACGAACGTCATAGTGGGGTGATTAATGTTTATAAGCTGATTGTACAAAGGCATTATATATGTCTCTGACCATGTCACTCCGGAGGACTGATAATTGAGGAACGGAAAGCTGTACCTATAACCTGCGAAAGAAAAGAAAAGGATAAAGACGTTAGGTTACAGCAGACGTTTGTTGAGGGGGGATGAATTGACCTTCATTCTTCAGAACATTTCCGTTACTTAGCGCTACGATAGTATTGATATTCTCCAAGTGTTAAAGGTGATTAGAACTCCAGAGAGGTGGTAGGATTGGTGATGCACAGGTAACACGGCAGATAATAAGAAATACTCAGGTGCTGTGATCGCGGTAGGTAAAGGTGGTATGGGAAAAATAAATTAAAAATAACATGGCTCTGATAATATAACAGAGCATATACATATTTATTTACATACAAACATATTGTAGAAAAATTACATCTAGACAGGAAAAAAATAATACTAATAGTTGGCCTGGGTAGGAAATGAACCCACGACCTCAGAAGTGAGAATCACTAACTACTAGACCCACAGGCTGGTCAAAGTGACAGTTTTTTGTTTTTTTTAATAGACACAGATTTTATTGTTCATAATGGGTATAAACTCTGATTACGATCATCCATACTAATATTAGGTCTTCACCTATGAAATTGCCGTTTTGTATGCAATAAGTGAAATTACTTATTTTTTCAAACTTTTTTATTTCTGTTATTCGAATTAATCACCCATGCAATCGACGCATCTTTGCCAACGCATAGGCAGTTTATTGATAAAATCTCCTTCTTGTAAAAATCAGCTGGACGGGAGGCAACAAACTCTTCAAAGGCATTTTGTACTGCCTCTCGGGAATTGAATTTTTTACCCACTAAAAAGTTGTCTAAATTTTGGAAAAAGTAATAGTCGGTAGGTGCTGATTTTTACAAAAAGGGCATCAATAGACTGCCAATGCGTTGGCAAAGATGCGTCGATTGCATGGATGATTACTTCGAGTAACAGAAATAAAAAAGTTTGAAAAAATAAGTACTTTCACTTATTGCATACAAAACGGCAATTTCATAGATAAAGACCTATTATTATAAATGTGAAAATATGTCTGTCTGTCTGTTACGGTCCTGACGGTTAAACCGCTGAACCGACCAAGTTTTTATCCCAATAATCGTTGTTTAAGCGATGAAAAGAGGGGTGGAAGTTTTTATGGGGAATCAATAACGAACCGATTGAGACGCAATTTGGTATTGAGATAGTTTGATTTATGAAGACATTAATGGTGGGACATACACACGGGTGGAGACGCGGGCAACAGCTAGTCTAATAATTTAAACCTAAAGGAAAGTGATTTCTGGCTTTAAATATATTAAATATGTTCTTGAAGTTCAAATAGAATTAACTTTGAGTAGAACCTTTACTAGAAATCACTATCAGAACTTCACTGCCAGTAAATATAGTACCTGTGCAAAGTATAGCAACATCGAACTCTTCAGTACTATCATCCACAAATACGGCGCCCGTCGGTGTGAAATGTTTAACATCTGGTTTCTGTTTATAATTTCCATAAACTTTCTGAATCTTGAAATGAGCCTTTAAATGATGACTATGTATGAACATAGAGGTCACGTTGACGAGGTGTGTAGCAAGGTCAAACGCAGAAGGGCCGGCTCCAACCACCAGTACTCGTAGACCCCGGTAGTCTTCGGAATCTCTGTAATCGTGACTGTGTAGCATCTTTCCTGGGAAATAATTATAAGCATATTATTGTAACTCCCTTTTAAATAAGGATATAAGCATCGTGGTTGAAAGATACGTACGTGCATATATATACAATTATATACTACTCGTATATATATTCACAAAGGCATAATAAGCGTCCAAATTTTGCGGAATATTATTTATAATAATATTTTCGGACATTGACACACAACGCCATCTAGATTCAAACTAAGTAGAGCTTGTACTATGATAGCATAGAATACTTATATTCTTTTTTTGTACATGCATATTATACATAGAAAACACTCAAACACCGAAACAAATATTTTCGGATCATACAAACATTTAGTCCGACCCGGGAATCGAACCCGAGAACTCAGCACAGCAGTCGCATACGCTAACACTGCACTACCAAGGCAGTCACAGTCTATTTTAATAGCATTTTATCTAATACAGGGCACGTCTATTGCTGTTAACCGCGTATTTTAGGGGTTACATGGGAAAAATGCGATCATATCGAAAGTACCTTTAAAATCTTCTTGTTTTGCAAAATAAGGGACATGGGGCGCGGTGTACTCCCCGTTTGCAATGACAACGAAGCCACATTCCTCTGACACGTTCTTCTTCGTATCAGTCTTCATATAAGTCACGTTCCAATCGTCACCCACCTTCTCCACACTGGTCACCAGACTTCGAAACTGAAATAAACATCTATAAACTGAATAGTTTGTCTATCGCTTTTTTTAATTCGTAAAACAGACAAGGGAAATTCGCAAGGAACAGGATTACTCTATGCGTCTGTCGGTACTGCAATAGACATCCGTTACTGTAAATAATACTTGTGTAAATGATTACCTGAATATATTTTGCCAAATCATATTGCTTAGTATAACCTTCCAAATACTTATAAATACATTGGCCAGAAAGAAATGAGGATATAGGGCCTGCAGGAAACGGGTAGTCTGGAAATTCCATAGATTGATAGAACGAGTTTGTTCTGGAACATAAATGGAATAATACAGTTCCCTATAAACCACTTCTAATTAACATACAAGTGATGTTTATTTGTTTGTGTTCATCGAAATGGTGTTGGAAAGAAGAACGAAGCTGGCTAAAATGCACAACATTTCTGTAGGTAATATTTTCAAATTCACATCATGTAAAATTTGGAGAGCTTAGACTTTATAGCAAAAATATTTCGAATTTTAAGTTATCCCCGCTAGTGGTAAAAGTTATGTTGTCGAAAAACTTCCCCCTAAATAAATATATTCGTTGGACAGACATTAATTAACACTAGAGAAATACTTTTATATAAATATACAAATAATTATACATCGCAATAATATGTTTTTTTTACTAACGAGTAGATATGTTAAACGGGGGCAAACGCGCAAACGGGTCAGATGATGGTTGAGTACGGACTCCTTCAACTCAAGAGTCCCAAGGGCGTTGCTGGCCGGGGATAGTTGGGCCTTCGGTACCTAACGCACCTCGTGAAATGCAACGTAATTGCTTAATTCTAGTTTTCTTTGTGGCCGTGGTATAATTCGGTTGAACCGCTCGATATGTTCAGAAGCCCGTGCTTCAGAAATCAGAGCTATACCGAACTTAACCGTGAGATAGCCGTCTATCTCACGGTTAAGTTCAGTATAGCTCTGATTTTCAAGAAAATAGGTATTCTACAACAAGTACCTTACCTCAAGTCTTTGTACGCGCTCGTGAACAAAGGTGCTCCATACTCATCAGTGCCGACTCGAGGAGTGTATCTCCAAGTGCCTCCGATGTAGTTGGAGGCCTCAAATACAGTTAAGTTAAGACCATAGTCAATCATGTGACGGGCCGTGGCGAGGCCCGAGTAGCCAGCACCGATGACGCAAACGCGGGGTCTTGAGGCCAACTGTGATAACACAAACATGTTTTGCAACCAGGACTGCTCTATACCCAGAAGGAAAGTTGATGCTTGTTTCTTAAATTTCTTCCACCACGCTATGATCACTAATTGAGGGTAAGGAAGTGATAGACAATGTCTTCCGTATAATGATAATGTTTACGAGGACGCCTAAGTAGAAACTTTATTGTTTGATTCCGTAAATGCTTTGGTAGAGCATGAGCTAAAATATATATATTTTATTAATAACCGATTTAAATGCACCTACATCATGTAATTGTAATAAACTGCTTTATTGATTGCCACCCCTAATCATCAATCATTATCATCGACAACCTCTAATAGTCCACTGCTGGGCATGGGCCTCTCCTTAGAAGGGAGGTTTATGCCTACTATATCACGCTGGCCAGACGGGTTGGTATAGGGTTTGTGTCAATTTTTCCGTCTCTTTACAGTGCTCCTGCGTAGTTTACTCCCTTAATCGGCTCTTACAATACTTACTTCAAATTAGAAAGGGACCAAACGGGAAGTATAACCTCCTAAATAACAAAATAATCTACCAAATCGCTTTATGAATAACAGAATTCTGAAGGAATAAGAATAAAAAAAATACAACTGAATTGAAAATCTCTTGCTTTTTTGAGATCGTTTAAAAACTTTAAAAATTACTCAAATAACAACGAAATGATTTTTTTTATGTCACAAATGACACTAAACTTCATGAACTTTTAAATCGTTAATTTAAAGTTTAGGTACGCGTAATTTCTCTTTAAATGTGTTATTTTCTTTACTTATGTGAGTGCAATTAGCCTGGGTAAGAAAAACGAAAAAGAAAACAATGATTCGTAGGCACTCAAGTATATCGTAAAATACAGTAGTACGAAACTTATATTTCAAATATTAAAGTGTTGTAAAGGAACAGGTGCAGCATTTGTGCCTCGCGGTAGTTTTTAACCATGCAATGAATTAATGAATTAATTTCTTTCCAATGATTAATATCTTTGAGATATTAATCTCAAAAAAGAAATACTAAATAGTATATTTACAACAGTAAAATGCAATATTTCTACCTTTTTATATTATACTTACACACTCCCCATTTAAATACAATTACCCTTCAGCATTCTTAGTTTCGGAGATTCGTAGGTATCTTTATGTGACCCGGATTACTGCTCTCGAGTGTATATTTAACTACTTCTAGAGCACTTACATTGTTTATTATTACATCAGTAATCATTGTAATACGTACTATAATTATGTGCGATATTATTTTAATGAGTTAAACTTTTTTTTGCATCGAGAAATTAAGATAAACTGACTTATGTAATCTTTTGGTTCATTATTTGGTCCATTTATACTTATTATTAGACATATGACAAAATCAGTAAACTGTGATTTATCATTCGATTTTTGCGTACGTAGATTAGGGATGCTAGGTAGATAGGTTAGACGCTATTTAACAGAAAATCTAGTATTTTTAAATTATTATGTAGGCAATGGTAGCTATAAATAATAAAATAAATACTAGATTTACTGTTAAATATGCGAAATAGGGTTTTCATGCATCGTCTGAAAACAGCTTATTGGCAACAACGCGTGAGTAAGTGGTAACCCTAACCTACGTACGAAAAAATCGAAATCTCCGTTCATTCACAGTTCACTGAGATTTTGTCCCATCTACTCTTATTATGAATCGCTACGAAACTTACGAGATATATATTTTTTAAGATTTTAATTTTAAAATTTTAAGTTACGGAGATATTGAGGGATAACTTAAACGGGTCACCTGATGGTAACTACCGCCGCCCATGAACACTTGCAACCCAAGCGCGTTAACGGGCCTTTGAAGTGGAATTACACTCTTTTATTGAACATTTGAATTTTGTATCGGCCCGGCACTAACTTAGCTATTTGTTGTACAAGTTGGTGGTAATAGAGCACAATGTTGGCGTGCCAATTATCTAAGTGATGAGGATGAAATGTCGCGTTGAACAATGGTGGAGAACCGCGTCCAAAATAAGGCCGAATAATTTCTCGGAGCGCTCCCCGAAATACACGCGAATGCAGAGTGAAGCCACATCCCTACGCAACGCCAGTGTGTCAAGCCGATCTGAGCCAGAGAGAGAAAAATCTACGACAATCATAAGTATACTGCCCTTACAGAAATCGAATCGTTCCCTAATTGGTTTTGTATCGGCGCAGTATCTAGATAATATTAAAGAGTTAGCTAGTTTTTTTGGTCATTGCGTGTGGGAGCTATATCCACAACCGTATTATATACACAAATCCACACGTTCTACATAGATATAACAAACCGTTTTGCAACACTACCAAGACTAAAATAACATAGAAAACAATAAGATTCAAACGCATTAAGGATTAAAAATAGGTAGGTTTAAAATAATGTCACGTAGTTAATGAGCTATATATATAAAGCGTATCCTAATGTATTAAGACTATTGATCTAATCGTGTAATAGTGATCATAACTCTTTTATTTATCACTTAAATATATATCAAGTAAGTAGAAAAGTGTTCTGCTTACTTGTGGTATCATATAGCCTCCTTGCAACCAATTTAATATACACAAAAATATTACGCACGTTCGATGTCCCATTGTAAATTAGTCAACAGTACACATTAAAACCGTTGTTATTAAATGTTGAACCGATATCGGCAATCGGCCCAGGGTTGTGATCAGTACTGAGCTGCGTGACGTCGCCCAAAGCTTGGTCCCAGTATCAATATTTATATAAAAACATTGATAACCCAACAAATGCGGGTTACGGGAAAATAGGACACATTTTAATAATAGTAGCGTAGTTGTTCGCGTTAGCGTAGAGGGATGAATGTGATCCACTCGGCGCAAACATTTAGTTTAGCACAAAAATTCAGGGATACTAGTAAATAGTAGTTTTTGTTAACTTCTCAAATCTTCCCTTAGAGGGAAGAAGGAGATGGCGAGGAGGAAAAGTTAATACTTGTTAACACACGCTACAACCTATGGAGCGGAATTGTATCCACCAGATTTTCTTTTGAAAACAAATGAAAATAATGAAAATAGGGTTAAAAGAAACACTACAAGTAATCGGTAATATACTTTATTATAAACAGATAACAAGTGAGGGCGGGATGCCACATGTATTACTTAACAAACGATATTTATGTATTAAATCTTAGACTATGTTTCATAGTAGAGGTGGTATAAAAATTAAGTAGATAATATACAAACATTGAAGTGGGGTATAGAGACAAAGGGTATAATGCAAGAGTGATAAAATATTAAATGTCCAAAAGTAATGAGTAATTATATTAGATTATTAAATTGGTCATGTTCTAGTGGTCTGTCTAGCCATGTCCCTGGTTTACTCGGGCTGCTGCAGTTTGACTCCTATTTACAATATCAAATAATCCCAAGGAAGTCGTCATGTAGGCGGGCAGCTATACAGATTTCATATAACTCTTTGCGATGTTACACATATGACAAATGGAGTTTTTAATTATAATGATTAGTAGTTAAATATTTAATTACTAATCATTATACGGATATGCGTATAGTGGTAGATAGAATCATAACCTTCTTTGAAGGGGTTCACAAGAATAAAAGTAATGTTCAACCTTCACTGATCGACGGTCGATCGTTTTTCTAACGAGTATTACGTTTAGCAGTTTGCAATATTTGTATTTTTCGAGTTTATATTTCTACAGATCTATTTCAACATGTTATTAATTCTAATACATAAATAGGGTAGGTATACTACTCTTAAGACTACATTGGAAATTTAAAGAATGCCAAGAATGCGTGAATAATATAGGTACAATTTAATTGTATCTAAGTTTTTCATTTTATATTATATTACTACAAGATTGTATAAAATAACTATAAGTATTTTTAGTATAACAGGGATGATATGGACTGAAAAATGATTTCGGCTTATCCGACAGTTTCGGATATAAGACATAAAATTTGAATTTTTCGATTCCTCGTTCGAAAATACTAGTATGAAATGTATATTTGTTATATTTCTTGCTGTCATTGGTACACTAAAGACGCAAAATAAAACGATTAGACTAATAGTTGATTAGTAAAGCTATTCACTTGTAGGTGGTTTTTAGTTACTAATGCCTATAAGGAAAGAAATATAAACTTTTACATCCGGTTAAGTGACGGTTTCAAATAGATTTTTATTTAGGGTATGTAAGTTTCGGTAACGGTAACAAAGCTCCATAACATCCCTGGTGTACATAAACTTTTCATTGTTATATAAGTGCATTGAGTTGGTTTTAGTCTGTTCTGAATATATAAAAAGACCGACAAGAATACTATTAATATACTTTTTCAAATACTTAGTATTTTTTCAATTTTGAAATTTGAAATTTATATTTATCAGTAACAATTTATTTATCGATTTATTAGTTGAGAAAACTTTGCCTCGACCTCTATTTCCTATTCTCTGTTAATAAGATTAACACCCACACAAGTTCTTAATGTTATAAGATTATAATTTTACATAGACTAGTAATTTCTTGATAGTATGGCCTCTGAACTTAACTAGTACATTACAAAATCTAATACAAATGCAATATTTACAAAGCCAAGCCTTACTGTAGAAAGAGGAATGTATGGCATGAAAATTATAAAAAATATCGGGGTTTTATAGACAATATTTGTTATACCACCTGAAAACTGCAATGAAGAAAACTTGAATCTCTTTTGTTCTTAAAAAAAAAATATACTAATATTTAAATACTGCAAACAATTATACTCAGGTACAGTTGTACAAATATTAATACTTGTTTTTTTTACTCAGTAAAAATACTAGTGCATACTTGTACTTGAGATAGTACCTGAAGCGGTATTATTTTATTTGTTTTTGACAAAATGAAAACTTAGAGAACAAAAGTGCATGAGCCTCATTAAAGTTATCAAGTAATCAGAACATATAATTTACATATAAAAGAAATTTGGCCATAAGGTCAATAGATTTTATAAAAAAAAGTTTATTTTATCCAGCTTAACCTGTTTATACAATAAAAATGAATTATATCAATATTTATGTAAACTATGTATGTACATAAATTGATTAGTTCTATTACATTTTAGACTTAACCTAAGTCTAGTCAAGTCGTTATAAGGTATTTTTACGATATATTCAGTCTATGCTTGACGAATTGCTCGTACATACTCGGGAAGTTAAACATAGAAAGTATAGAGTATATTTACAAGTACTTAATACTTTATAGTACGTATCTATACAAAGTATATTCTAGTGATACTTTTAAGTAGTTACTTAGAAGATATCATATCTTCGATGAACATCTTAATTTAATTTAATATCAGTATATGGCCAGAGGTTTACGGGTCACTTTACGGTAAGTGACTACGTCTGACTTCCATGGACATGAAGGGGGGGGTTTTCTTAACTCATGAGTTAAGATAACCCCCCTCCCCCTACCCCTAGAAGCCAGACTTTCCGTAATCTGTGGGTTATTATGACATTGATTCTCTCTCTCTGAATAAGTATATTTCAAATCACAAGTAATAAATGTCTTGTCTACAATTTGATGAAATAAACAATTTTGAACGCTAATGTTACACATATATGACAAGAATAACGTTAGCTGAATAGTCACGCGTTTGCTTTTCTGGAGAAAATAAACATTAATGTCCATTTGTCATGTATATGTGACAATGGCGTACAAAGATAATGTGTTAGATTACACATAACTTTCTTGTTTAGCTGAGAAGAGCATCAATGATTCCATGAGATGCGGTCGGATCATCTCGTCAACGTCTTTCTTGTCGTCGAAAGCTTCAGGGCAGTGTTTGTATATAGTTCTGAGGGCTTTGAGACAGTGTATAAGGGTTTGGTCCGGGTTTGTGTCGTGGATAGGACGGGTTCGCTGCAACCTTACGAGTCTGGTAAGGTGGGGAACTCCTTCCAATTGAACTATCTGATGTGCTACGTCCGGCATCACGGCTAACCTGTAAAATGAAAATAAGATTACAGGTTAAACAAATTGTTACAAAATCTTACAGCTTTGTGCTTAATTATTTTTGTTGCTTAATTATTTTTGTTGTCTGTGTGTGTGTGTCCGCCGCCCATAGACACTTACAACTCAAGATCTACAAGTATGTTGCCTTTGACCCCTCACTTTTTGGAGGGGTGGGGGGCATTTGGGGCTCTGGTAAATTCACTCACTCAGTGAAAAGTAACGAAAGAATGTTTAACATCAGTTTTCTGTTGGGCCGTGGAACAAATTTAACCTCTACTATGTAAGTGGGACCAATATACAGTTGAAAAAATATGGCTGTTAACACGACTCTGCTACAAAAACAAAGTGGAGGGAGTTAGCGCAATATCGCTTTTATTTATTTATGAGTTAGTTTAGAGCGAGTAAATAATCTGGTCCGTGTGGTGACGAATTAAGAACACGGAGTGTCGCCATCCCTATTAATCCCGTGGGTGTCGTAAGAGCCGACTAAGAGTGCAAACTACGCAGGACAACAGCACTGCAAAGAGAAGGCAAACTTGATACAAACCCTGTGCCAACCGGTTTGGCCAGCTTGGTATAGTAGGCCAAAACCTCCTTTCACAGGAGAGGCCTATGTCCAGCAATGGACTACTAAAGGCTGTCGATGTGATGTGATGAAGTACCTGGCGATGGCCTCTGCGGTGTGGCAGTGCAGACGCGCCTGCGCCCGCAGCTCGGCGGCGCGGGGCGCGGCGCGGGGCGCGGGCGCGGGGGGCGGGGCGGCGCGCGCGAAGCACACCAGCGCCACGCACAGCGACGCGGCGCGCGACAGCAGCAGCACGCAGCGCGAGATGCGCGCCAGCGACGCCAGCAGCGACGCGCTCTGCTCCTGGGGACAAACACGACTATGGGTTAAATATCTACATTAAAAAGTACATTACATTAAAAGATTCTGGATGGCTAATCTGCTAGTATTCGATTTTTACCTTTCAAAGTTTAGGAGTTTGATCTCATTATAGAGATAGTCAAATAGTACCATAAAACGAACTGTTCATGATGTTAATAAACCACAGCTTTATAAATCTCAAAGTTGTATTTTATCAAAATAAATTTATGATTGTCATGTAAAACATCCGTTTAAGATCGGTCAAAAAGCAACTGATACGGATACAGTTTTGTTTACACTCGGATATTTTCGGATACAATTATCAGACACATTACTACCTATTTAATAATTAATATTTGGTAGTGCCAATAACAGTTAGTATTAGCTCAACACGAAAATATAATATTCCTTAAAAAATAATCTATACTGTTTTTCGAATACAATTATCTGACACATCACTACTTATTTCTAACATTTGGTAGTGCCAATAACAGTTAGTATTAGCTTACCAGGAAAATATAATTTTATTTAAAAATAAGCTATTCTATTTTTCAAAAGCTTAACTTATATTGTACATGCGAATGTCTGTTACGAGTATACTTATTTGTCACGATCACCAGCCTTAACTGCACAGCCGATCCTCATCAAATTTTTTATACACGTTAGGCCTACAGAAAAAAAAAAACTTTTTTCGTTGGATACCTTTTATCTAAAGATATTATTCCCAGATAGATAGCAAAGCTTCTGGCAAAAAATAGTATAAAATACTTACTTGTAAGAATACTGAAATGTTGGGACCCCGTCGTTTCACAGCGTCTAACAATCGTTCCACAGTGCGGTGCTTTGTGAATACTTCAACTATATCCGACTGCATTTCTTCTTCCTTCCTTTCGAGCTCCAGTTCTCGAACCAAGTTTACGAGACACGCCACGCAAAGTAACAGAAGCTGACAGCATTCAGTCCTAGATAGAATACCTAAAAAAAAATTTTTTTTAACTGATGACACGAAATAACAATAATTCTTTATTGGAGACTATGGTGTCCAATTTTTTGGTAAGAATATTCAAAATATACTGATTTTTAATCATTCTAATAAAAAAGGAGACGCTACTCATTAACAGATGGCGTCACAATCTTAAACCATATCCGTCGCCGATAGATGTCGCCTCGCATTAGCAAGAAGACTTACCAGTAATGTTCTCCACGATTGTGTTGAGATACAAATGGAGCTGAGTCAGGTCGTAATGTCCTCTGAGCCAGGGCGCTGTAATCTGAGTGAGTACTGTGATTGCTTCACGCATCTGCGGCTCAGGATTAGAACGATCTGAGAGAATATCTGATAGGATTTCTATTCCTCCACCCTGTGAATGAAATAATTATTCCCCCTATAAATATCGTCAACAGTAACTTAGAAGTAAATTAATTCAATCAATGAAGTATATGTTTTGCTAAAAAGATATAACAAAAAGACGATTTGGAGGCGCCGGGTATCGATCCCGGTACCTCTCGCATGCTAAGCGAGCGCTCTACCATCTGAGCTACGCCCCCTTCATTTTAATACCTGTACATGAGTATCTAGTTCGTATATCATTCATATCGTAATTGAAGTAAGATTTTCAATTAAATTAAAACGAACAAAAAAGTCAAGTCAAATTATGAACCTCCTCCTAATAAAATAATGTTAATTTATAAGCTGATTGTTGTAGGAAGAAAGAAATCTTGTTATGTGTTATTATATTATCAATGATACTAGTATTATTAATACTACTAAATTATAGGGTTTGGTTTTATTTTAGGGTATAGATACCCTAAAACTCATGATTCATAACAAAAAAAAATGGTTTCGATATTCATAAACCGACCTCTAAAATTGACTGACAAAAACAAATTTTCGTAAAAGAGAAAGATGACATCAAATAAATGATGGATAATAATTAATACTAAGCAAAGTCCAGATAAGGAATGTGTCTTTATAATTTATTATAAATGCGAAAGTTAATTTGTCTGTACGTCGTTAAGCTTTTTTGACTTAAGTACCCCACCGATCATCATGCTGTTAGGTAAAGTAGGTACCTACGTAAAAACACCGTTTCTGTTCCTATAATTTACATTAACGCGAGCAAAACCGCGTGCATACACTAGTACAGAATAAAAAAGAGACAAAAAATCACCTCTTCAAACTGTTTCACAGCATCACCCGTCACGCAGACAGTCGCAAGCGCACGTAGTGACAGCGCTTTTATAGAACTCTTATTCGATTCAATAATCGCTGTCAATAGAGCCCTGGGCACAGCGCAGTCAACAAAAGGCAACTCGGTTATACATTTCATAATTTTCGTACATTCTTCGTGCAATGAATCCTCTGTCGACTCGCTCATCATCGCCAAGTGACCGATGGAGGTCAACGTACTTTTAAGGATCATGTCTGATGGTGGTTCCTCGATAATGGATACTAGAGTCTGTGGAAGATAGTATGTTTTAGAGAGTTTTGATACCACGGTCTACCGGAAAACCGGTTATCGGATACCCTATTCTGGGAGGAGGGTATGCGAAGACCATGCATGCGTCTGCTCGTTTGAACAATTTTATTTAAAGCTTGCTTGAAAAAAAAAAGTATCACTTGCGCAATTCTATTTCGGTAGGAGCAGCTCATTTTTTTGTACAACTACGGTAAAAAATTAATGTGACCTAACTATATGACTGTTAAGTAAACAACAGTTTATTTCAATGCTAAATGTGCTAATTAGTGCAATTGACAATATTATAAAGTGCGTTGCTTATTTGTTTGAGTTTCCGATCGATAGGTTTGACTTTATGGTATTGTAATGCGGACTTGTGTGACTAATATTGTAGGTATTAGTCATTAGATATAGAATTATCTTCATGTATATATTAATACGTAACGAATGTCCTTTGCGGGATGTATTTTTTTTTAAACAAATGTGGCATATGGAAACATATTACATATGGAATACTTGAAGCTTATAAAGTTAAAATAAATATAAAAACGGCTAAATGGGCTACTGGACCACATTTTAATCTGTCGTGGTATAAAAGGGTATGATAGTCCAAGTTATACTGGTCTATGAAATAAAACAAGACATTCAAAACGGTCGAAATTCGACCCTCAGGCAATCTCTTGTACATGTAAACATATCTAGAGTAGATAAGTTACTCATAATTTACTTTAATAAACCTGTCCACAGGGTATTTAAATCCTGATACATTTATTAACACAGAATGACTCGGAGCTCCTATATCAGGATTGGAAAAGGAGAGCATAAAACAACATAATTAAAGAGAATGCTACCTTCATTTGCTGCACAAGCACAGCCTTAGTCGTCTCCAAAAATATCTCAATAAGCGTCTTCAGATGCTTCCGTACTAAACTCCACTCTGGATGATTCTCATTCAACTCTACTTTAACATCTTCTCCAATATCTATCAACTTCTGCAAATACAGCTGCAGTGACTTCTTAATTTTGTCCCAACGTTCGGGAGATTCTCCAGGAGGCTTTGTGTTGAGAGTTATGCTGTGAGCGAGCACAAACTCATTTATATTGGCCACTAACAGGCATATTTGTTCCTCGGTTGACTTGTCGGCTTCTATTTGCCTGTAAATAGATTTACGTGAAAGTTTCATGTCTAATGTGTCACGAATTATATGGAATTAACGGAAAATTATTTACAGACATAAATTAATGTATTTCCATCAAGTATCTCAAGCTCTGCAAAACCATCTGAAGCTAATGCTCACATGTACGATCAATAAGGGTTGTCGAAGGAACAATGGTTGTGGGGTTAACACAACATACCGAATGCATAGTTAGTTAGTTAGCTTAGTAGCTTTTCGTTTATATTTATAGAAATTTTCTTACCTCAATACATCACTGTACTGGTGTACTATTATTTGTCCATGTGTTTGCACCTTCTTTATATTCCCTGTTATCGTAGCGGAGCTTGCAGACACGAGAGCTTTCATCTCAGCACCTAAAGGTTTACTCTGGAGGGTTGTCATGCACTCGTTTTCACAGGATCCTACTAAATCACAGAGCCAGTATTGAACAGGCTCTGGCTTTCTCACGCAAAGACGTTCTAAGCATGTCTGGTCTATGGAACGTTCTCTGTACAGAATTTCGTTCTGGTTATTTAATACTAACCTGAAATCAGAAATATTTGTTTTTAATTCTTTATTAATGGTTGATCGTTCAGAAATACATGTAGGTATAAGCTTTTCAATTGTTTTGTTACGCTTTCCTCACTGTAACTTTACGTAGCTTCGTGATTTGTCTAGCTTTAAAAATATACTTATTTTGTGTTCTGTCTTGAATTATTTATAATAATAAAGATAAATTAAATACATTGACTCATTAACAAGTAATTAAAGGTTCGAATGAACTATTTGCGTCTATTTTTCTACACAAATATAGTCTTAGAACGTTCAAGAGGAGACTCAATAGGTTTCTCTTGGATTCATTCATTGTTCATTTACTTTATCCATCTGATGAGATGGAAGACAGATCGAATTAATATTTAAAAATTAGTTTTCTTTTTTAAATCTCTATCTTTAATATAACATTCATTAAATCACACAAAACAAAGTCATTGGTTAAATTAACATATAGTAAGCTGTTATAACTTTTTGCTGACTTAGCCCTATAAGTTTTAATGTATAATTTTGTTGTCATTTCTGTGTCATCGGCACTGTCATTACAGTTATAATAATTGTATATTATTATGTAGGTCATGTTATGTCGAGTGTACAATAATGGTAACCATATCTTTCCACTCGTTATGAGGTGATAGTATGGAACAAAGTTTTCAATAAAATACTTTAATTTAACACACTTAAACCTTTTTAATGCTGTCAGTCTTCTGAGCCAGTGACGGCTTGATAAAGTGGAGTAATTATACAACCTCGTTTTATTTGCTACACTATAACACACACAAAATGTGTATTTCTATTTCCACCCTTAGTTTTTTTTATTTAGTGGATAATGAATGAATATAAAAATAGTCACTAATGCTAGCTATACAAAGCTGATGCCCTTGACTACAGGTAATAAAAATTTTCACTTACCCGCCATTAAAGTTTTCGAATAAATTGATCCTTCGTGTGATCTTTCTATCACTTTTTGAGACATCCATGAATTCGTAAGGAGTCAACATCTTAGGCGTTGAAGTACAGGCCAAGTTTAACTGGACATCAACAAAATCCATTTCACCTTTTAACTTCTCTCTCTTCGAGTCATGCGTCAAATTCTTGTTTATTCCAGAATCAGTTTCGTAAGGTGTCTTTTGTTTATCTTGAAACTGAGGAGGAGGAGTAAGTCTTTTGAGATAATCTTCTTCATGTTTGTCCTTGGGTTTGGGATTTAACTCACTTTCAGTAGCAATTAGCCTTTCATTATAGTGTGGTATCAGCATTTCCCTCTCAGGATATCCTACTTCTACCCAAGTATCTTGGTCTTTCGATCTTGGAAGACCTAAGGAAGGAACACGACTACCGTTTAGATGCCCTCCTGCATGAGTGTCAACTATTGTTGGTTTTTCTTTCCTCGGAAATATTCTGAATAAATTCTTGGTCTTTTCTCCTTTATTCGCCATACGTTGTTTGGCTTTTAATCCTGCCTTTTTGTTGGGTTTTAGGTTAAGACTGTCCATAATGTTTTTACCTAGTATGGCTTTAGCAGGTGTGTGGATTTGTTCCTGTTCATAAGGCATTGCTTCATTTGTAATATCGTCTTCGTCGATGTATCCTAATGAATGATATCCTTCTTGAATATCAAGTATTTGCTGGTCTAATTTCTGAGCGTCAAAGTTTAGTGATTTATTTAGCCTATTTCTTTGGAATTTGGGTGTTACTGATATTGGAAGGTTATACTCGTTAGATATACTACGTTTGATAAATTCTGCTTTTGGTGTAGTTGTTCTTTCTGATCGTATGTAAGAAACATTCGCTATTGGTGTTCGATTTCTAGGTTGATTATTCACTGCTATTTGATTGTTGTCTTCTAATTTCAAATACTCTAAACTCTCTTCTAATTTATTTTTGCTTGTTTCTAGGTCCTTCACTGTAGCTAATTTGATAACTTTAGTATTATCACTATCTGTACTCGATATAAATGTCTTTTTAACCGGATACTTTTTGGAAGGACTTATAACATTAATGTTTTTTACAGGTATGTCTTTGGTATTTTTTTCTATTGCACTTTTCTTGGGAATTATATTTTCCTTCTTACTTGCTTTAGTAGGCGTTAAATCCTTAACTTCTTTATTATTTTCAATTTTCTTTATTGCAAGTTTACCATTAACTTTATTATTTAAAACATTTTTTGTGTTTTCTTTATTCGATTTTGCTTTGTAAATGTTTTTCGGTGCTGGATACTTTGGTTCAGTTTTATTAAGATTAACATCTTCAACGTCTTTATCTTTTAATAGTTCCAAGTGTTCCTCGTCTTGATGTACTTCACAATACTTCTGCAAGTCGTATGGAGTTTCTATAACACTGCTGCTTCTGAGGCGCGGCTTTGCAGTAGGCATGTCAACAGGAAAGCTATCGGGTGCATCGCAAACATCTTGGCTTTGCTGCGAATTTTGGAAATTGCTCGCTTGTTTCACAGTTATATTTTCATTGTTGTTTGAATCGCTACTACTCGATGATTTATTGCTGTCGCTGGGCTCTGGTGGCTGATAGTATTGAGACGGTGGAGGCGAGCTGTCAGAATCCGAGAATCCAGAATCTTGACTCTTATGACTGCCCGGACTACCATGACGCAGAGGCCATTGGTTTATTTGAATAGGTTGTACAATGACATCGGTGCTATTGTCCTTCTGTTCAGGTGGGTTTGCGATCCAATGAGGCAGTTGAGGCTCCCAATCGTTACGGTTCGGAGTACATTCGACCTTGGCTACCGGGCTTCCTACAGTCGGCGGTGAATCATTCCACCACACTTTACTGTGCGTCCGTTGAAAATTTGACATCCTGAAAAAGAAAAAAATAGGTAAATGACCCGTGGGAACCTTAAGGTGTAAGGTTTAATGATCGATGTCAGTGACTTAATGTCGTGGTCCATTATAAGGTGTATCCGAGGTGCGAGCTCGTGGCGCGTGACGGCCGCCGTTCGAGGCCAAATTATCTCGTATGTAAAGTTTGCTTTGTTTTTGTTTGAGTAGTCATGGGAATTTGCCACACGCCTATTGTGTTGATTGCTTACAATAGTTTAAGAAAAAAGTAGTAAAATACTGCCCAAGGTGATATGAAGCGTGGATTTGAAATAATAATAATGGCATATCACGAAAGTCTTGGCCGGGCAGATGTTAAAAACCGTTGCAGAGCCTATTGTGCACAAAATGAAAGGCCGTTCACACATGACTGTGATTCTCCCCTTCGATTTACCGTGCACAAAGCAATAATACTCTTAGAATCCGTTTGGTCAAACTTTATTCTTAGTCTCTATGATGATGTATATTTGTAGACTCTAAAGTCATACATCAACACACACAATATCAACAATCTTTTTTGTTAAATATTTAGCAAAGTAAATCCAATCCATTATATACCTGTGACGATCTATAACCACCCGTTTCCAAGGGGTTGAGCCTTATGAGAAGGACAAACTAACTCACAGCCACTCTTTTTGAATGAGTTAATATTGTTCAAAATGAGTTATTGTTTATAAATAACTTAAAAATACGTAATAAACGTTTATATATTACGCTCATAGAGTTAGAGATAGAGTTAATCTTATCAAAAAGTAAAGTTAGTAGCCGATCCTTTTTAATATTATTATTTTTCCTATGTACCTATTGATGAGGCGACACATTTGTAGTGCACATAGCAATGGATCGACCTGATTAAAACACTAACATCGTTATCAATGGGGAACTAGATTATGAACTTCTGATAATTCACTAAATTATTGTTAAAAATAACCGGAGTGATCGATTTTTATTCATACTTTTATAGAAGAAGTTACCAATAGGTAGATTTTCGTTTAAAAAACATCACCTCTCGAAATAAATTCTGGGTAAAAGTAGATATTTTCCCTTTAGATCACTACCCTTTTTAATTTTAATTTAAAATAAACGGCTACTGGTACTATCAGTCACACATTAATTCTTGCTAGTATCTAATCTAATTCTTCAACTAAGCTAAATGCTTATGTTAAATATTTGCTTGTCAAGTCGATGTCTTCAATTTGAACAGAAGGTCGTGCTATATACTAAAAGGGTTTCCACACAAGCGATCCTGAGAAGACGCTATCGTATCGAAAGCCTGGTTATAATCAGTGAAAATTGTGTCTCTGTATGGGCTACCGCTCACATAGAGTGGGACGGTATAATTTTTTACAGCCTTAGTATTGAGAAAAATATATCAATCATACGTAAATCGGTCACGATTTGCGGTCATCTGAGTCAACGCTCTCTCCTATCTGATTCATTCTTACAACGCCTAACTCATTACCGGACGTTATTATAGTCAGTAAAGTTATAGATGCGCATGTGAGTTTGTTTGTCATACGCCTTTACTACTAAACCGATTATATCATGAAACTTGCATACGAGGTTCACAGGAATGCAGAAAAAGACAAAAGATAGCTTTCATTCAGAAATCATCATCACCAACAGCCTTTAACAGTGCCCTGCTGGACATAGCTCTCTTCTTAGAAAGGAAGTTTTGGCGTACCACGCTGGCCAGACGGGTTGGTTCAGCCAGAAATATTTCATCCAAAGAACAATATACATATATAAACTTCATTTAAAAGAAGTAGGTTAAAATGAAATCACGATTGTTGACATACCTTGTTTGCTATATAGGTGGCGCTAATAAAAATGTCAAAAATACAGTTTCCGAGGGATAATGAATTGATTAACAAAGTCCACGTTGAGGCAAATGAAGCCAGGGGAAAAATGTAGCTTATATACATTAAACTAAGTCATTACCGGACATTAGTCACTTTATAAGTATACTATATCTTCTTATACTCGTAGTACAGTGATTGATAAGTTGCTTTATCTGTACGATTGTTTATTATCTTTTTGTTTTCGATTTTTGTTACTGTTGGCAGATCATTTCTTATTCTGCTTGGAAATTCCATACATATTTCTTTGTCGAGGAGAAACCGAAGTTATTTTTTTAACCGATTTTAATAAAGGAGAAGATTCTGGAGAAGGAGGCTGTTTTTTTATGTTTGTTCCCCAAGAACTCCGTCATCTTCTTCTCAGCTTATTCGTAATTTCAGAAACCGATTTCTTTTTTCTTTTTTTAATTTAAAGAAAATTTCCCCTATGAGTAAAAATGAAGGAATGAAGAATATAAATTACCACAGTTATTTATGAATCGATTGGTAAAATATTTTAATTTTAATTTAAAGGCCATATACATACCCATTTCCCATTTGGTCTCAATCAAATATAAAAAAAACCCCTAAGAGTGAAAAGAAAGGAATGAAACATTTAATTTATTACAATTCAACATGATGTAGGCGGGTAAAATTCTGTTATATATTTTTTTAAATTAATTACTTTAATTCTTATTTCAGGTAAAACAGGTTTTAATTGATGCAATGTCAGGTGCAACTTAGCATATTACGATTATTTTAGTATGTTGGCAACAACTATTGGGACACACTGTCAGCGTTGTCATGCTCAAATGTTACTAATATATACTCGCTAATGAGTTTCAGTTATGAAGTATATTCAAATACGTAGCAACGATTAAGTATTTTGAAATAATCACGAGGACCTAATATGTGGCAAAAAGCATAAACGACGTGGTATTATTTAAAATAGTTGTAGGGAAATTTAACTCTATGAATCCTTTAATTAGTTTATAATTTTGTAAAATACACTAAAACTGTGTATTATGCTTAAAATATAAGTTCTAAAACTGTTTACCATCGAATCCATTTTTTTTTAATAACCTCACACATCTCACACATGGCAATCAGATCTCAAACTAGACAGAGTATACAGAGCCTGTACTATGATAACCAGACTGCTGATAAATATACTAAACAATTTCTATGATAAAACTACGTCGTATTTTAAATATTGATGAAAATCAAATTTAATGTCTTCAATTGTACTCGGTGATTCTGTAATCCGAATATATTCTTGTCTGTTTTCTAAATTCAAATGAACGTAGATAAACGTCACTATTTACTGTCTTTTAAAGAATAATAAATGTAGCCTTAACTTGTATTAAAAGTAAACACATTTAAGAGTAACATTTGTATTCCATTCAGGACTTCAAATGCGGGCTAACGAATTTTGACCTGACCGCAAACGGAACATGCCGTCGCACATACGTTTAGTTTTTGTTGCAATTGTCTTTGGTTCTATAAACTTTTAAAAAGTACATATTTAATCAACTCGTCTAGTCTAGTAAATAGTCTATATCTGCTGAACATGTAATATTTCTTTTTCAACTTTTAAACTTAAATTGATCTTTTTAACCGTCTTAAAAAAAGTGATCATTTTAACCGTCCTAAAAAAAGTGACTTTAAGTCGGTTAAAAAAGATCTTACTACTTGTGACTCTTGCTGCAGCTGCAGGTGTCAGTGTGGCGATGGCAGTGTCATTTACTGTCAGGTGATCTGCTCATTTGCTCCCTATGCAATTAACAAACAAAACTTATAATAGGGAAACCTGATACTTTGAATTATTTTATTACAATTAATATTTGCTACATTACTTAAAATTATGATTTTGTATCAACAGTATTTGTGTTACCTATAAAAATAATAAATACGTTCAATAAAAAAATAAACGTTAAGTAATTGAAAAAAAAACATATATTTTCTTTCCATACTTGATTCCTTAACAAGAACAATACGTTGTAAACTTTTATTATGCCGGCAAAAACGTAGATTGTCTACGTAATGTAAATTGTTTACTTATCACCACAAATAATGTTCACATTGCAAAACCTTGGAAATATCAGTAATCCTTCAAATTGACAACATTTGTCAGTTTCCTACATTCCGCGCTACCGAAGGTACATTTAGATTTCGATACGCTTCAGTGGTAACATTGACAATTTCGCTTGACTTGACTTTGAAGTTTATTTCATTTCCTTTAACACGTACTTAATTTATTATCTGTATTTTGTATTGCATGCTGGCGACTACACGGATGGCATAGTGGTTTAAGCGGTCGCCACGCTGCTTCCTACTACGCCGAGCGTTGTGGTTTCAAACTCCACATGGGACGACACTTTGTGTGATCCACGAATTGTTGTTCTGAGTCTGGCTGTTATTTGTCTCCGTCTCATGTATGTTTGTAGTCCCCCACAACACAGGATATATCGTTAATGCGGGAGTTGTCTTTAAAAAAAAAGAAATGCTAAGGGACTAGAAAAGGTTACTAATGCGGGTGCGGGTGTAGGCGTTTCCAGCACAAAAGAAAACTGTCCGAACTTCTTTTTAAAGTACCTAGGCAAGGAATGCATATATATACGGTTCAAGGTCTTATTGTTATCGGAATCCAGGGAGTAGTATTGTTGTCTATACAAAGCATAAACAATTATTAGTAATTACCAGTAAATATTAATAATAACCGTATCAAATGGTAATTATAATAAATGCGAAGGAATATCAGTTTTATTCGTAAACATGAATTCCGAAGGTTTGGTGAATAACAAAGAGAATAGAGATCTTGACACGACCAAGGTTAGGTTCGATACTTGCAGTATTTTTGGTGATTGCTGTTCATACCATACCAAATACGTGGGTTGGTATTCTATTAGTACCTAACTTATTAGTATCAAAATGTATAATTAAAAAAAAAGTATATTTTTATACTCCATAGATGATTTTTTACGATTTGATAGTCTTAATTTCTGATCAATTGGTATTTTGGATTTTAATAAGTCTGTTTGTTTGTACGTTGAATGACTCACATAACAAACAGACGTAAATAATTTAAAATTCTAATGAATAATAATCTAATTTCATTTTTAAATTTTAACATAAGTATCG